AGCGGCGACTACGACAAGAAGAACTACGTCTGAGGGGCCGCTCCCGCCACCGCGCCTGCGAGCCACAGGAGGAGCCCGGAGCTCGCAGGTCTGGCGGCCACGCCAGGTCGCCGGCGCGGGCTCCGCGGAGTGCCCGGAGCTTCCGGACGGCCCCTATTCGGCCCGCAGCTCGGCTTCTAGGCTTCACCAGCCGGGCCCTGCCTGAGCCGGCGACGAGGACTCGATGTGCTTCCATCGGCAGAGAGGGCGCCGGACTGTAGATGCCACTTCCCCGCCGATGCCGCGGGTTTTGGCCGCTGCCTTACTTCCTAGCGGCTCTTGCTGACTCCGAGGGGCCCCGGCCTGGGCTGCCGAGGGCGTGTACAGCCAGCTCTCGTCCACTGGTGGGCCTGTGCCCGAGGGACCAATAGCCTTGGCCCTGCCCTCCCAGTCTCGCCCAGCGGCTCCCACAGGCCTGTGGGCACCAGCGCCTGCGCAGGCCGGGCCCTGCCCTCCTCCGCAGCTTGGGGGGTGGGAGAGGGAGGATAAGAATTTGCTTAGTAAATGATTTGAACGCCCTCCCACCTGTGTCTTGTCCTTTGTTCAGTCACCTCTGCCAGCAGCCGGATTCATCCAGATCAGACGACTCCTCCCCAGACTCCTGTGGGGACCTCCCAGGGTGGCCCTGGGGTTGTGGCCTTTTCTCCTGCCACCTTCTCACCAAGTGGGAAACACACTCCACCACTTCCTGCAACCCAGAAAGGTGAGATCTGCAGGCAGAAGAGCCAGTACTGAGTCCTGGGACAGACCCCAGCAGAGGATGCAGGCTGAACCCCCCCCCCGGGCCAGAGAGTGGGGGTCTTGCGATGCAGTGCTGGGGGGCAGCCAGGCCGCTGGCTTCTCAGAAAGGGCAGGCCCAATACAAAGGCTCACCCTCTTGGAGCCTGCCTAGTTCTGGGCCTCATTGAGTGGCCACAGATATCTGGTACCCTGACCAGCCCTTTCCAATGGTGGGGAAGGATTGGCAGGCTCCCAATGGTGGGGAAGGATGGGATGATTCAGGACGGGTGTGTATAGGGCAGAGTACGCTGCAGGTCACAATGGTGTTGTCATGGGGAGGTGGCGCTGGCGGCCGTTGCCCAGTGAACCTGGGCTGCACTCCAGTCTCTGGTCCTGGTTCCTCCGCCAGTCACAGCGGGGCTCTGGCAACCTGCCCATCAGCACCTCTGTGCCAGGCTCTGCTGGGAGCCTCCTTCCTTCTAGGGGCCCTGGCCAGGCACCTGGGGTAGGGGGTCCCAGGAGGACAGTGCAGATGGGAGTTGTTCAGTACAACCACTGAGAGCTCGCTATTCCCAGGCTTGCTCTAGGCATTTTGAATTAACCGAATTAATGCATTTCTACCTTTTGCTAAAAAGCTAGAAGCAGAAGAGGGCAGTGGGTGGAGGCGTGGGCTGCAGGGAGGAGCTCCAAGCCCAGTCAGCAGGCAGGCTTGGCATCTGCCCCCAGCCTGGTCCTGGGGGCCCTGCCCAGAAACTGGGCCTGGGACATGTCCAGTGGCAGGGAGTCTTCAAGGCTTGGCAGGCTCCCAATCGTGGGGGGAACCCCATGCCGCAGGCTCAGAGGAGTTCAGCAAATGCTGTGCAGCTTTCTGGGAGCTTTGGTGGAGCCAGTAGGTGGGTCCTCATCTGAGCCAGTGCAGCAGAGACCAAGAACGAGCCCTGGGGGTGGGGGGGATGTGATCCTGGGTCCTGGGTGGCCCTGGGTGGGATTGGGAAGCGCCAGGATCAGGAACCGAGCCTCCAGGCTGCCCAGGAGGGCTGTATCCACACTAGAAACAGAAAGTCACGGAACAGAAAGACAGCTACACAGCCTCTGCTTGGAGGCTAGGCTGCTGCCCACCTGACCCATGCCAGGAGGAGCAGAGGCAAACCCTAACACTACCAGAGGTGAGCAGAGAGGAGCCGGCCTCTGACCCAACTGACCCCCTTGTACCCACTGACTTTTCCCAAAGGCTGCACCAAGGCTAGCCCCACCCACCATGTCCTCATTTCCAGGCCACTCTTTCTTGGTTTTTACCCACCATCTTTTTTTTTTTAAAGCAAGATTTATTGAGAGGACAAAGCTCCAACTGTGGGAGGGGACCCAAGGGGATTGCCTCCTCACCATCTTAAAACCTGCCCAAACCACTCCTGCCTCCAAGAACCCTGTCTGCCCAGTGCCATCACTGTCTCCTGTCAGCCCTGAGCCTCAGAGGTAGACATCTCTCCCAAGTGTCTCCTTCCCCAGCACTTGTGGTCTCAAGTGGTAACCACAGATGGCCTCAGTCCACAAACAGCCCTCCCTACTGGGAAAGGCAGGAACCGCAGCCTTATTACCTCCAGACCCCTCAATATAAAACTCACATATGCTCAGGGGACCTGTAGGAGGGTGGGATCAGCTGACTCCATGGCACCCTTGACTGGGAAGCCCTTGTTGCTCTGAAGGCCATGGAGGCCACTGAGGTCCGGTCGAGCTCAGACCTTCTGTGACCAAGACAAGGTGATGCTGACTTCAGGGTCCTAGGTACAGGGTTTTTCTGTCCACGACCCATGCAGCTATCTGACCCTTCCCAGCTTGAGCCTTCTCCTTGCTATCCCTCCTCCCTGTGGTGCAATGTGCCCACTGACAGGGCACCTGGACAGATATTGTACGGTAAGACAGGAGCCATAGTGGGGGATGGCCAAAAGGGTAGATTTGCGATGCTGCCAGGGGACAGGAGGAAGTGGCGGTCTGGCATACAGAGCTAGGTGCCAGCTAGCACTGCTGGACAGTGGGCAGCACAAGTGCCATGAGAAGGTCTGGGTGCTGAGGAGCCCACCTTCTGCCTACTGCTATCCAGGGGGCCTGGAGGACAGGGTGGGGAGACCTTGCTATTGGGGCCAAGCAGGGGCTACACCTCTGTGTTGATTTCCTGCTAAGCCCTGGGGGTGCCAGGGCACAGGACCAAAACTCCCCCGGACCCACAGAAGGCTCAGGGCACACTAAGTGCTGGTCTCAAACACAGAGCCAAGATGGAGAACAGACGCTAAAATAAGCACTTTATTTCATTAAAAACAACTGCCCCTGCACCTCAAAGTATGTCCATAATTTACAATCTAAATAAAAGCCAGTTAATATAAATAAGGAGAAGGTCATTTCTGAAGGAATCAAATTCTGGCAAAGAAAAAGAAAGAAAAAGACATAAGATATAAGTTTCAAACAATTCTGATGTGTCCCCAGATTAAACAAGGCCTTTCCTGACATGCTGGGCTGTGCTTCTGACTAACCTGACCATGAGGGTGGGGGTAGGAGTCCAGGGGCAAGGACCACCCCAGACTCACCAGGGTGCCTGCTGTTCTCACAACAGCTCCTGCCTGGGTCTGGACTGTTGATGCCCTTTCAGTCCCAGCACCTTCTCACCTCTCAGCGCCTGCCCAGCTGCTTCTTTGGTCAGGGGCCCCCTGGTGCCCTTACCCGGTATCTCCCCTTGCTCAGCCAATCTACTCTCCATTCCCAGCACTCTGCCCTTCACTTCCCTGTCCTAGACCACCTGCACCCCTACAGAGGTGGTAGGACACAGTAGCATCAGCATAACTGAGCAGGCTGTGAGAGGGGTCTGCCTCTGACACCTGCCCACTGCCTGAGAGCACACACCTTCCACCTCTGCCCCACTCTTGGGAGTCCTGTGCTGACACTCCATACCCATTGTCTAAGGCAGATGTCAGCCCATTTTCAGATGAGGAAGCAGGCTCAGCCTAATTAGGTGCCTGGCCCAAGGTCACTGCTGATGAGCTCACAGATCTCACTGAAACTCCAAGGGTCTGACCCAGAGCCCCTCCCCCAACACAGGCCTGCATAGTCCAGGATGCCCTGACAGAGGGACTGTGGGGCACCTGAGGCTCCCTATGCTATTCTCGGCAGAACACATTCTGGCCCCAACAGCAGAACAGGCGCCTGCCCCCAGGATGGGGCAGTGGGAGGACCCTGGGCCCACAAGGGGACCCCTACATCAGAGCCTTGGCAAGGCCCATCTGCCACAGCAGCAGCCTCCAGCCCAGGGCTCAGGAAGATGCAGGACCATACATGGCATGCCCTGTGGCGGGGTCCTAGGCCGAGAGATGGCCACATAGACACAGGGCAGGTCCCTGCCCCTGTTTCCCAAGGGGCCCCACAAGAAAGAAGTGGCATGTGGGGCAGTGGGAGACATCCTGGGCCACAATAACCTGCCAGTGACTTGAGACAAAACTTAGTGAAGGCCCAAGTGTGTAAAAGCCTAGATGTGGGGCTCTGTGGGGCTCCAGCCAAGGCCTGATGTGAAGGCTGTGGGGCAGCAGCGCCAGGGGTTCTGCAAATCACACCAGTTGCATGTGCAACACCCCAGCCTTATGGTGTGGTCAGCAGAGGGTGAATGCCAGCTCCCTCCCCGGAATTAAGGGGTTTCATTAAGCTAATTATCTTCCCCATGTGGCCCTGCCGGCAGCTCAGGGACAGACAAGGAAAAATTTGTTGGTCCCACATCTCCTCAGGAACCCTGCTCTGGTCTGAAACCCAAGTAAAAGCCTCCGTTGAAGAACAGGGCAGGGAATCAGGGTCAGGCTCGGAGGCGGCAGAGCTACCCTGTGGCATCCCCACAACTTACCCTAGGACAGGAGGGAAACAAGTGCATCCAGAAACTTGCTCCGATCCTCAGCTTTCAGCTCAATTACTGAGTAATGAAAGAAAAACACCCATGAGAAGGGAGGAGTGGGAGAACAGGCAGAATGCACAGCATCCTCCGCCTGACCTAGGCTGGAACTAAGCTTCACTGCATTCCAAACTGCACCAGCCACTCCACGGCTGGAGCATTCTGGACTTACTAGTCACAGCTCTCCGTCCCACTGTATGGGTACTGCTGGCTGCACTGGTAGACAGGGCAGAGCTGGGGCCTATGGGAGGACCCTCTGGAAACTGGGGTCCAGCGGTGACAACCAACAAAGGGGACACAGAGGAGAGCCCAACTCAGAGCATTATAGACCTGGACAGGGATGGCTTCACCACCTGTCCAACATGGACCCTGCCCCTGAAGGGGGCTGTGAGAAACCCTGGCAGGGCAGGAGGCCACCTTCTGCCTCACTCTGGTTAGTGCCTCGGCTTCAGTGTCTTCTTCCATGCAAGGGCACATGATGCAAACCACCTGTATCTCTCAGGGCCATCAGGCACAGCTGAGCACACAGACTCTCATTAGACAGAGCAAAACCAGGCCCTGGGACAGAACTGGTTGAATCCTGGGAGCTATTTTTGCTGTCAGTCTCAGCTCAGGAACTCCAGGTCCAGCACACCATGGCTGGCTCCACACCCTCAGGATAAACTGGGCAGCTCCTGGCTCCGGATTCTCCCTGTATAACAAAGGCGATGTTCTGCAGGCCAATGAGTATCCACCTTTCCCACATCACAGGCTCAAGACAGTCAGTAGGGGCTACAGCTTGGGGTGAACCAATGCCACATGGCGCTAGACATGGCTGGGTCTGGCTGAAAGAAGTTGGCTCTGAGGTGACTGAGGCTACCTGAATAAAGACTGGGTCTCCCATGAGAGGGATTGGTCATTGTTGAGGAATTGGATGGTGGTGAAACAAGAAAATGTTCTTTCTGAGAGATGCAGATGAAGTACTGAGGGGTGTTATGGGCTGAATTGTGTCTTCTCAAATGTCTGTTGAAGCCCTAGCTCTACCATATTTGGAGACAAGGTCCTTTATCAAGTAATTATGTTCAAACGGGGTTATCAGGGTGGGCTGATGTCCTTAGAAGTGGAGGAAATTTGAACAGAGACACTTGGAATGGTGTACAGAGAAGAGACCACGCGAGGACACAGCAAGAAAATGGCTACACACAATCCGAGAGGCCTCAGGAGAAACCAGTCTGCTCCACCTTGATCTTGGACATTTCATCTGTAGGGCTGGGAAGAAATAACTAACTGGTGGAAGCCACCCTGTGTACAACACTTTGTTATGGCAGCCTCAGCAGACTAAGATGGGGAAAGTGTCAACAAGTCGGTTTTATTCACTGTCAACAAGAATAAAAAGGCAAATATAAGAAGGTGAGCCACGCTCTGTGCTGGCATCTGGGGGAGCAGCTGCTAGACAGGCCCTTCTACTCTGATCTCATCCAACACAAATCTGAGCCATTACACAGGCAGGATCCACCATGACAACACAAACTCTGGCCTGAATGGAGGTGGCAGCACAGCTGTGGAGGTAGCACCCTTGGGTCACGGCAGGCCCCTCTGTTTCTCCACTCCATGAAAGGGAGATGGTCCTGACCTGTGAAGCTAGGGCCAGTCCTCTAGGTTTGGTGGAAAAGTGATCTTCAGAGTGATCTTTAGGGCTAACTGTAAGGTCACAGCCAGTCTGTCACTCGTTAGGAAACACCTTTTTCCTCCAAGGCTCACTGAAGCTCCCTGACCTGCCAGACCCTGCCCTGGGCTGGTTCCATGAGGTCGAGAGAGCTGCCGGCCAGGCTCCTCCGGCCATGCCAACCTGCCTGGTTCTGATCCAGCATTGACCTTTAAGGGTCAGGTGGGAAGAGTGTGGCCGGAAGGCAGGAGACTCACCTGAGAGGTCAAAATGGTTGTGCAGTGTCCGGGAGCTAGTGCTTTCCGCTGCCTTCTCAAATGCCCGCCCAAAAAAGCTGCGGACACAACAGATGCATTAGGGGCTAGGCTATATGTAACAGATCTATCCTGACCCTTACCCCGAGACAGACACCAGAGGCAAATGTCACTCTACTCAGCAGGGTGATAGGCCCATGTACTGACACCTCCAGCCCCCTAGTCCCAGGACAAGTGGAAGTCACTTACTTCTTCCTGTCAGAGCTGTCAGTCTCGGGGGGGATGCCCATCACAGTCACTGTGCCTTGTTCCACACTCAAGGGGGCAGCCATCACCAGGGGCAGCAGCTTGCAGCGCCGGTTCTTTGTCTGTGGAGACAAAGGGCACCTTCTGTATGTGAAGTTAAGGAACACAGGTCTGAGTACACCACCCAGTGCCTGGGGCCCACACATCACCAGGCCACTCCACTCCCCGAAGCCACCAGGCACTGTCACCAGAGAAGATGCTTGGATCCCCATGAGGCATCCTCCAGCTCCTTATGAACTAGACCAGCCCCATTACCTGTGGCTGCTCCTCACAGGGACTCTGACCTGCTGTTCCCTCCCTCACCTCCTTTGCATTCTGCCTCAGGTGCTACCTCCTCCAGGAGGCTCCTCCTTACCCCCTACCACCATTCTGCTCCATCCTCTTGTAGCACATGGTCCCATCTGCAACTGCATGGACTCATTCCTTGTCTGCCTCTGTTGCCTATACAGTGTAGACTCTGAGTGTTTCCTTCACTGCTATACTTGAGATACCCACACCCTACAACCCAGGTGATCAGTCTCTTGGTTTGTCCAGGACTGAGGGGTGCCCCAGGATACAACATGGAACAATTGGTCACTCCATGACGGTTGGTCACTCCTGGAAGGTGGTTCAACAAACACACAATAAACTGTTCAAGAAGCAACTGTTCAACAAACACACAATAAATGAGTAGATCCTGTGAAGTGGGTATCTGTTCACCCATTTTATAGATGAGGAAAATGAGGCTCAAGTCAGACACTCTACCTTACACCACACATTTGGTAAAAGAGGAGGCTGAGATTTGAACCCAGCCTAGAGGACTCCAAAGCTCATGTTTTGTCTCCAGTTCATCATGGACATTACTTGACTGATAGAACATACATATCAATTTATTGGTTAGTTCAGCAGCATGGAAAACTTCAACATCTATTTATACATTTTATTTAAAATAGTCACAGTGGCTCATGCCTATTCCGGCTGTGGCAGGAGGATTGCTTGAGCCCAGGAGTTTGAGATCAACCTGGGCAACGTAGCAAGTCCTTGTCTCTACAAAAATAAAAAAATTAGCCAGGTATGGTGGTGCATACCTGTAGTCCTAGTTACTTGGGAGGCTAAGGCAGAAGGATTGCCTGAGCCCGGAAGACTGAGGCTGTGGTGAGCCATGATCGTGCCACTGCACTTTAGCAACAGAGTAGGACTTTGATTATTGAAATGTGCAGGACCATCCTTTCCACAATCACACCTAGGAGCCTGAAGTCAGTTGGGTGAGGACTCCTGCCCAAAAGTGAGATGAGTTAGGGGTGTGTTCCAGGCCAAAGCAAAGAAGGGTGTTAGGCCACATGGAAGACAAAGTCACACACAGGGAGTTGGCTTAGAAGACAAACTTAGCAACTAGCTTCACTCTCCTTGACATGTCATAGCGGGATACAAGCCAGCAGGTATGGCTCCATGTGGGCCCCCGCTAGTCATCCAAGTAACTTGGACAGTGAATGATGAAATCAAGATTGGGGCGGGACTCGGTTGCTCAGCCTGTAATCCCAGCACTTTGAGAGGCCCAGGTGAGTGGATTGCCTGACCCCTGCAGGTTTGAGACCAGCCCAGGCAACCTGGTGAGACCTCGTCTCTACAATAAAATAAAAAACAGCTGGGCATGGTAGTGTGTGTCTGTAGTTCCAGTTACTGGGAAGGCTGAGGTGGAAGGATCACTAGAGCCCAGAATGTTGATACTGGGGTGGCCATGAGCATGCGTGCCACTGCACTCCAGCCTAGGCGAAGGAGTGAGACTTCAACCCCCCCCCCCAAAAAAAAACAACCACAAAAAAACGAAATCAAGATTGGAAGGTTCCTAGGGGTCAGCCGAGAAAACTATAGCTCAGAAAAATTAAGGGATTTGCCTAGACCCAATAGCTGGCGAAGAGCCCTGAGCACTCCAAGCTAGTGTCTGCTGTTCAGTCCAGAGCACTCTCTGAGCATCTGCCCTCCTGCACCCATGATGCACCACCCATATCCTCACCGAAAACACAAAGGACTTGAGCAGGTGTCTGCTGAGCAGGCTCAGGGACGCTGGCTTGGAGAACAGCATGACATCTGGAGTGCCCTGGGGAGGGGAGACAGGTGGTCAGGAGGCCACCAGTAGGTATGGCCCAGCACCCGTGCATCAGCAGGAAGCCTGACCTCCATGAGGGAGCAGTAGAGGAAAGGCCCCTGGGAGATAACGAGGTTGGTGCAGAGGCAGCTGGCGATGGTCTGCTGAGTGGCTCGCAGTTGCTTCTTGGCGAGTTCCAGGCCATGGTACAGCTTGTCTAGGTTGCTCCTGTGACAGGACAGACATACAGCTTTGATACTGCTTGCCAGGAACTCTTGGTAAAATACCAAAGTCGCAAATAGATTGCATGGCTCCTGCTTCAAGAGGGGGTTTGGAGATAAGAGTTTATCCTCTCTCCTTCCTGAGTTCCCTTTCACATGAAAGGAAGAAAAATTGTTTAAACCCACAGCAATGCAAACAAGAGAAGGGTACTGGCATCAGAAGACAGGAGACTGAAAGCCAGCAGAGGGGAGTTCACACAGAAGGCTCAGGAGGATGCCTGGAGGTTTGATCAAGGGCTGGAGGTTGGATGGGGGAACCCCTTCACCTGAAAGATTTTTACTCTTCTCCATATAAGGGTAGGGTAGTATATGATCCTCTGTGGAGAAGCAGAGTCCTCAAGCAAAGCCTCTGTACCCCAGTTAGGAGTCCCAAAGTGCCACAATTGGCTCCTGCCCACCAGGGTGAAGCGATGTCTTCCAGACAGCAAAATGTGCCCAGACACCCACGGCTCAGCAAAGGTTCCATAGCCCCCTTCTTGAATATGAAGGATACTAGACCATTTGAGAAATATCTGTGGCCTGAAAAAATAAATAATCCTGGAAAAAACAGAGATAACTGGAGAACAAAGAAACGTAAAATGAACTCTAATTACTATCATCTGAGAGATTTGGGCAATGATTACATTCTTAAACTAAGAACAGGATACTATGAGAAACAAACAATCAGAAACTAGAAAGTGTTGATGGAAATTAAAACAATTGCAAGTAATAAGACATTCACTCAAAGTCTAGAAGATAAGTCAAGAAAAGCTTCAACATATATAACAAGACAAAGCCATGGAAAATGTAAGGCAAAAATATGACACAGCATCACTCTAGGAAGTTCAGAAAGCAAGAATAACTGATGTTGTGTGTGTGGGGAATAGTAAATAATAAAGAAATAGTAGAATAGGCTAGGAGCGATGTTTACACCTGTAATTCCAGCACTTTGGAAGGACTGTTTGAGCCCAGGAGTTCGAGACCAGCTTAGGCAACATAGCAAAACTTCACTTCTACAAAAACAAAACAAAACAAAACACCAGGTGTGGTGGCACATGCCTGTAGTCCCAGCTACTCAGGAGGCAGAGGCAAAAAATTACTCACGGCCAGGAGGTCGTGGCTGCAGTGAGACATGCCCCACCTGGGCAACAGACAGAGTGAGACCCTGCCTAAAAAAAAAAAAAGAGAGAGAGAGAAATAGTAGACTCAGACATGCATGTGCTCTAGTAAACTGAAGGAGTAAGTGAAACAACAATGAGGAGCCCAAGAAATGATCTGAGAGGTGCAGCCAAGGGACAACGGTGAAGACAGTGAGCAGTAGGCCTAGAAAGCTGCAGATCCAGGTTGGCGTGGGAAGACAGAGCCCTGGGCACTCCAGGAAAAACAAGCCTCAGAGAATAACTGCCGGAAGGAGTTTGGAGAAAAAATATGGATGAGATTAAGGAGACAATAAAAAACTCCAGGAAAAACAAAAAGGCATTCAGAAAGTAATGTATTATGGCACATGATTATCTCTGGAATAGCTTACTAGCACAATAAAATAAAACTATTTATTAATTTTCATCTTTTAAAATCAACCTATAGCCAAAGATGAGAAGACTTACATCCTTTTCTCTAGCCCAAGATTATATGTTATAAATCATGAAAATGTATAGAGAGTCCAAAAACTGGGAGAGGAAAGCTGAAGAACAAAGTTGGGATGTTGATATGGCTGGGTTTATGATTCCTCCAAACCTCATGTTAACATTTGATCCTGAAATGTTGGAAGTGGGGCCAATGGGAGGTGTTTGGGACACAGGGGCAGATCCCTCATAAACAGATGAATGCCCTGTGGATGAGAGGTAGGGGTGGGGCCATGGGGTGACAGAGTTCTTGTTCATTTAGTTCCTGCAAGAGCTGGTTAAAAAAAAAAAGCCTGGCACCTTCCTCTTCTCTCACCATGTGATCGCTACACACACAAGCTCCCCTTCATCCTGAGGCCCTCACCAGGTGCAGATGCCCAGTCTTGAACTTTTCAGGTATCTGAATGCTAAGTCAAATACAGTATACCCTTTTTTTTTTAATGTTACCCAGCATCAGGTGTTCCATTATAACAACACAAAATGGACTAAGATAAAGTAGGGAGATGAGACACTAACGATGGAAGAAGATATAAGTATGTTAAAGCTACAAAGGAGCTAAAAATAGTGGCATAACTGACACAACAGGAAAGGACAGAAGTGGAATAAATGCTCCTTTGTCACAGCAGGAAGTCAGTAGACAACAAATAAAGCTGATCTGTCAATGCTGGGATGACAGTGACAACAATGGTAGGATAGTTTTTGGATTTCCCCAAATTTCTAGATTAAAACAGAGCAGCCAGATAGCAAAATAAAAAACCCAGGGCCCATATTTACATCTAAGAGAACAAACCCCAAAATACAAGCAGATAGGAACAGACCAACAACCAGCCACAAGACTGGTGTAATGTCAGCATCAGTCAGGGAGAAAGCAGAAAGGTCATGAGACAATTAAAACTTCAGGCAACTGGGGAACAGTGATCGAGACTGAGAGTTTTGCCGCATCCAAGAGCAGGCGAGTGCAGTAGACCAAGGTAAAGTGGAAGGGGCTATGGTAAAGAGCAAGAGGCTGTGGTAAAGTGTAAAAGGTCAGAGTAGTCTAGCTCCAGGAGTATCACCAGACCCACCAGAGCTTCTTTCTTTACTGGGTCCTTCTGAGGAGAGACTTCTGAGAAAGGAATAAAAATCGACCAGGATAGGGACAATAAAGAAAGGGAAAGGTACAGATGAAAATGCACTGGGATTTTCCTGGAAGTTCTAGCCAGCGGAATCAGGTGAGACTATAAAATAAAAGGAATTTGACTGAAAAGGAAGAAGTAAACCTATCTCTATTTGCAGATGACACAAAACTATTAGAACTAATAAACGCTGAGCAAGGCTGCAGGATACAAGATCAATACACAAAAATCAGTTGCATGGGTGTACCATAGCAATGAGCAAATCAAAAATAAAAATTAAGAAAACAAGTTCAAATACTGAGGAAATAAATTTAACAAAAGAAGTGAAAAGTTTATATTCTAAAAACTACAACACATTGTTGAAAGATATGAAAGAGCATCTAAATAAAAAAATCTCACACTGATGGACTGAAAGACCCAATATTGTTAGGATGGCAATACTCCTCAAAGTGATCTACAGATTCAGCACAATCTGACTTCTTAGCAGGAATTGAAAAGCTGGTCCTAAAATTCTTATGGAAATTCAAGGAACCTAGTATAGCCAAAACAATCTTGAAAAAGAAAAACTTACGTTTTTCAATTTCAAGACTTGCTACAAAGCTACAGTAATCAAAATAATGTGGTACTGGCATAATGATAGATAGATAGAATAGAATAGAATTCAGAGTCCAGAAATAGATCCTCACATTCATGGTCAACTGATTGTCAACATGGATACCAAAATAATTCAATGGGGAAATGAATACTTTTTTTCAACAAATGACGCTTGGGACAATTAGATGTCCACATGCAAAATAATTCAGTTGGATCCCTTCCATACATTAAACACAAAACTTAACCTCAATTTAATCATGTACCTAATGTAAGGGCTAAAACTATAAAATTCCTAATAGAAAACATAATGTAATATTTTTGTGACCTTGGATTAGGCAATGGTTTCTTAGATATAACACTAAAAGCACAAGAAATAAAAGAAAAAACAGATGACTTAGGCATCATAAAAATCAACTTTTGTTTCCCAGGACACTGACAAGTGAAAAGATAACCTGCAGAATGAGAAAAAAAATTTGCAAATTATATATCTAATAAGGGATTTGCGTTTAGAACACATAAAACAACTTTCACAACTCAATAATAGACAAATACCCAATTTTTAAATGAGCAAAATACTTGAATAGGCAATTCTCTAAAGAAGATACACAAATAGCCGGGCTCGGTGGCTCAGCCTGTAATCCCGTGCCTTTGGGAGGCTGAGGTGAGTGGATTGCCTGAGCCTGCGGGTTCGAGACCCGCCTGGGCAGCGAGACCTCATCTCTGCAATAAATCAAAAAATCAGCCTGGTGTGGTAGCGCATGCCTGTAATTCTGGCTACTTGGAAGGCTGAGGCGGAAGGATCGCCAGAGTCCAGCAGGTCGAGGCTGCGGTGGCCGGGAGCAGCCACTGCACTCCAGTCTGGGCGACAGAGTGAGACTCCAACTCAAAAAAAAAAAAAAAAGATACACAAATGACCAATAAACACCTGAAAAGATGCTTAACATCATTAGTCATCAGGGAAATGCAGATCAAAACCACAAGATACCACTTTACACTCAATAGGATGGCTGTAATCCAAAAGACAGACAATAACAAGTAAAGGTGATAATGTGGAGAAATTGGACCCTCATATACTGCTGGTGGAAAATGTAAATGGAGCAGCCACTGTGGAGAACAATCTGGTAGTTCTTCAGAAGGTTAAACCTAAAGTTACCATATGACTCAGACCTTCCACTACTAGATATATAACCAAGAGAAACAAAAACATGACTACACAAAACTTGTACATGTAGGTTCATAGCAACATTATGCATAATAGCGAAAAGGTGGAAACAAACCATATGTCCATCCACTGATAAATGGATAAATAAGATGTGGTATATCCATCCAACAGAGCATTTTTTACAATAAAAAGACACGCTATCCTATCACGTGCTGCAACATAGATGAACCTTGCAAACATGATGCTAAGCTAAAGAAGTCAGTCATAAAGGACCACATATTGTATGAGACTATTTGTATGAAATGCTTACAATAGCAAATCCATACAGATAGAAAGATTAGAGGTTGTCAGAGACTGAGAGGGATGGGGGATTTGGGAGGTGATGGATAGGAGGTGTAGGTTTCTCTCTGGGGCAATGAAAATGCTCTAGAATTAGATAGTGGTGATGGTTGCACAATCTTATGAATATACTAAGAGTCATTGCTCTGTACACTTTAAATGGGTGAAATTATATGGTATGTAAATTATATCTCAATAAAGCTGTATAAAAAAATGTACCAGGGAACACAATCAGGAAATCCCAGACAGCAGGCTCCCCTATGTATGTATTTTTTTAACACTACACAAAAGCAACAGAATTAACAGCTCTGTGAAGTCAGAAATGCTGCCTGAATCCTCCTAAAAAGTCAAAGAAATGACATTCACAAATAAACAAGCATCAGAGAAGTACTAAGGTCAAATCCCCTCAAAATCACTTTTAGGAAAAATAGAATAACATCTCTCCAGACAATGAAAGTACATTAGTGTGAAAGCTGCAGGTCCCAGGATGAAATCACTTTTTGTCCAAGACCCAAACAAATTAGAGTGGGGAAAGCAGGAAGTGGGAGGGCTCCTGCTTGTATGTCTGACATAAAAACTCAAGGATTTTCTAAAACAACCTTGCAAGAATTCCTTCACCACTGTAGCAATTCTGATCAGAAGCTCTCGAAAGAACACCTGCCCAGCAATGGCATTTCCACCAATGAACTGACGCCAACTCTGGCTTTGAGTCTCCAAAACTAATGAATTCTGTTTCCAAGTACTTTATGTGAACTTCTTTTTGCCAGTACAAGTTCCCCTTCATTCTCCTTCATTCTCTCTGGGTGAATACATGACTTGCCATAGCTGTGTATCTCAGATGGGAATCCTCTTATCTAATTCCTGCATCAATTCAACATATTTGGAGATATTTTCCTCAGATGTTTGACACTAGGAAGACATGCCAACAAAAAAAGATCAAAATTGTCAGTTCTATTTCAAAACAAGCTAAAAGATATAGAAAAAATAATAAAGGACATCTCAGGATGTGTGATAAGAAAAGATTAGCAATAAAAGAAAAATAATTGAGAAATGAACACTAAACTAGAAGAAATACAGGAATGAATGAACACACAAATAATGCCTTCAGAAGGTGGGAAAAAAAAGAAAAAAAATCACAAAGAAAAAAGAGCTAAAAAGGATTCAAGAGAAGGTGATGGATACTAGACAGGCAGGCAATGTGTCAGGCGCACCATGGTCTAACTCCGTGATTCCAATTCACACGAGCAGTTTCTGCAGGACAAAGTCACTCCTGTTGCTCGGTGGTCCCTGCAATTTATCACCCTGGGCAGCGTGAGGCCTACCTGGAGAGACTGTCCAGAGCCTGGATGAAGTGATCTGTTCCTGAGCCATCCTTCTCAGGGCTATCCATCAGAGACATGGTGGCAAAGACCACGTCACTGGCCAGGAACTTATGCTTGAACCCAAAATGAATGCTGAAAGTCTGCATGCGCATGTCCTTCATCCTGTCATGGAGTGCAACATGGCTGTCACCTATGTTACATGGACAAGCTTTCATTGTCATACAGGGCAACAGATATGTTAATGTCCCTAACAGGCCCATGCTAACGCTTCCAGAAGGACCATTCTGCTCAGAGGATGAGGTGGGCCAGGATATCCAGACAAATCAGTCCTGCAGCTCAAAGTGACTGAGCACCTCCATAGCTGCTTAGCTGGCCTGGGGCAGAGCCAGTTCATTGGGTCTAGGGGGTTGGGGAGTCCTCTCCCACACTCCAGCATGCCAGCTAGTCAGGGCAGATAGCCAGGCATAGGGCCTCTAGCAGTGCCCACAGACCTGGTCAGACACAGTTCGCCTGAACCTGGCCCTGATGGCCTGTTTCCTGTCTCCAGTGAGGAATGGGCTGGATCAACCTCAAAGGTTCACATGGCAGCCCAAACCTCACTAGCAGTTTTTTTAACTTTTAATTTTTTAATTATAAAGATGTGGGGTGCAATTCAGGATTAGGTATACAAATGTTCATTACGCAGGTACCCTTGTTGATGAGGTGTACTTCCCCTTCTCCAGGCAGATTCCCACTACTGCCAATCCCGTCTCCCCGCCCCCCACCCCCCCACAGTTTCCTGCTACTGTCAATCCTTTTCTTATAGTATTAGGATAGTTGTGTAAGGTCTGCTTATGAGTGAGAACATGTGATACTTAGTTCTTTGTTTCTGACCTCACAAGTATTTTAAGGAATTCTATAGTTTACTCAAGTAGAACTCAAAACTTCAGTAATGGCCAGACTCAGATAATGCTCATTTGTACATTCTTGGGTTTTATTTTTTGCTTTTTGGCATTATTTTAGGAGTGTGGTTAAAGAAGCAAATCCAGATAAATGTGTTTACCCAAACTTATTTGCAGACTCTTCAATCATTTCCCGCAAATTCTCCTTCAAGGAGACGTCCATGGACTGGAACTTCTGCTTCACCTGTTTCAGGGGAAGGCTGGGAAGAGCAAGTCCAAGTCACGTGAGCAAAATCACCGGACACACCAGACACAAACCCGCGAACAAGGGTGCCTCAGCACATGCAAACAGATAATACCAGAGGATCTAGGGTGAAGAATTTATGGCAGAACAGGATGTGTATTTTACAACCAAGCTGGTCATAACAAAGTGACTGGGGCTTAGATAGTCACTCACCCCATATCTGCGAGGAACTCCTGGAGCCGCTTCTGCCCGTGCACAGACCAGAGCTTGAACCTGGATGCAGTGTAACTGGTGTTGCACAGGCTGTCGTGGAGGGACCAGTGCTGATAGAGTGCCAGGCGGAGGCTGGGCCTGTGGTCAAGGAGCATGCGGCATCTGCCCACCCCAAGCTGCACGGCCCCACCTTCACATCTACAGTAGATGGGCTACTGTGACAGCAAGCCCTTCCTTGCTGCCTCTGCCCGCACAACCAGGCAACCCAAGGGTGACATGGACCTCTCTGATCTTAGCCTAATTTGATCCATACGAAGAGCCCATACAGAAAGTCTGGGAGGTGGTGGGCACCATCACCATCCCCGTCTGACAGATGGAGAATCTGGGGTTCGGGGGTTCTGCAGAGCCAGTGTGCTGTGGTCACAGGCAGCAGTCACAGCCACACACAAGGTAGGAGGCTGAGTGTCACCAGCTCATCCTGCTTCACCTTGCCCAGCCCTCCCCACCACCCAACCCTCCTGAAAGCCCTCTGCTGGAATCCCATTTACACTCCTCTTTTTGCACATACCCTTTACTATTCCTGGCACGGTGAGCACTGCTGTGAGTACAGATGATCCCCTTCCCCAGACCTCTTCACAGGACATAAGGCTGGCCTGGCCTGCTTCCTGTGGTCACACTGGTGCCCTGCCACCACTCTTCCAGAAACTCAGCATGCTCAGTCCTTATTGCAGCCCCTTCCAAACCCTGGGGACTCCTGGGCCCTAGGGCCATAATTCTCCTGGTGGTCTCCCTAGACCTCAGTTCTCTGACTCCCTCCCATGGTCCCCAGATGAGTGTGCCCTGCCCTGCTATACATGTGCCAGGACTGGTTCCTGTACACTGTGGCCCTCTCCCTGAGTGTTTGGCAAGCTCCACAGTCAGCCCAGCCTCTGTCCCTAGGCTTTCATAGGTACCTCACTACTGATGAGCCTTTCTCCCTACTCATCTTAGTGCAGGGCTAGGGAAGTTCCATCTGGGCCATCACTCTACCCAGCTGTTCACAGTCACTGCTGCGGTCTTGCCTGAGCCACTGTCGTGTGTCCTCATATGGCTGTGATGTTTCCTTGCCCTCAACCTATCTCTACTGTGCAGCTGAGAGACCTTTTGAAAACCCTGTACTGAGCTCTGGTCACTCCACAACCTCGCACTGCCTTTGGCTACAAGGCTACCCACTCTGGTCTCCCTGACCCTGACCCTGCTCTTCTCCCAGTCTCTCCTAGTGACCACAACAGCTACTGCCACCAAATGTGGCTGAGACTCACTACGAGATGTGGCCTCCCTGAAGTCTTTCCTGAGTACTCTGTCCATGCTCCACATACTCTTCATAGAAACGGCAGGCTTTGTAATGACACATGAGCTTCCTTCTTTCCTGATATACTGAAATGCCCGCACTCACAGATAGGCCCTGTGTGGAGCCACCACATGCATCTAGTGTCAGGCTCACAACAAGCACTCAATAGGGATGAACTGAAGGAGGGTGACGCTCCCAAACCCTGCTGGCATTGAGAAGCCAAAGCCACATAGATGAACTAGGGCAGCACACCACAGTCCCTCCTCCTGCCTGCTGCCTCTTCTGTGGATGTGGGCCAGGGTATAGAGGGTGACAAAGCAAAGAGTACCCACTGAACAGAACACCAGAGGCAGGGGTTGCTGCCTGCACCCCTCAGGCTAAGTTGCAAGGATACTCGTACTCAAAGGAGATTCGTGTGCAGTCAACGGAGAGGGTGTTTTCCTCATCCTCGTTTCGGTGGTTGTGCCGGGAAACGTGGCGCTGCAGGACTCCGACGTCAGTCACATACTTCATCCTGGAAAGAAAGCAGTGCAGGCCTGGGCCAGCTCCCTCTACCCTCACCCAGCAGCCCAGGTTCCTGCCTGCTCTCAGGACTTTGCCAGGAGCCAGCCCACCATGCAGGCTACTCCTGTACAGGAACTAAAGAAGGTTGGCCACCCCAGCTGAGAAACAAGGACACAGCTAGGAGAGGTGGCCCCTGGTCTCATCTATCTTCTGTTCTCATAGATTTGATGCCTCTTGGAAACGGGCACTGTAGAGGCCATAGCCCCACTTGCCAGCCCACACAGTCAAGTGGACAGACCCCATAAGTGACAGGAATCCACAGCAGAGGGTGCAGACCCTGCTGGGGAAGTGCAACCAAACAGTGGGAGCAGGCAGACCCTAGTCGAGGTCCCAAGGGACCACAGACAAGGACGATGCAAGGGCAGCACTACTGTCTTCCTAGACCCAACGTATCTACACACACATACCACGCTACCCTTAACAGAGGAGGGGACTGACACCCAGAAGGCCAGTAGGTTGTGCCAAGGTAACACATCCAGGCAGTAGCCCAGGTCTGAGACTCAGATTCCTCCCGACCTGTGGGTCACACTGCAGAACCCGGACACAGGTGGGGCAGGGGATGCAGGAAATAGAGGACATAGGGCTTCTTCAAACTGTGCAAGGCATCCAGCACACAAACAGAGGCTGTGCCAGGTGACAGCTTGGGGATATCTGCGTGGGTGTCCTTGGGGTTGAGGTCCTTGTCAATCCCCTTAGATGTCTCCCCTGATGGACACCAGAGAAGGCTGGGCTGCCTAGTGGAGGGGGATGAAAGATGCCAGCTCTGGTAATGGCCAAGGCCCCACCCTTTACCCAGCATCTGTATTCTGGGGCAGTCTATTAGCTCACCATCAGAGTCTAACACATGAGGAACCTACCACTGAGGGGCAGAAAGAGATTCTGCTTCATGCCAGCCCTCCTTAAAATCCTCTAGCCTCCCCTTGCCTTTGAGATCAAGCCCACAAACCCTAGTCCCTCACTTGGGGTCCCATCCCCCTCCTATCTCCTCCTATCTGCTCCCATGTTCTCCATCCCACTGCACGGGTCACACCTCAAAGTCTGGCCCTGGTTGCAGCTATCCTACAAGCAGGCACAGGAAAAGGACTGGGAAGCTGAGTCCCTCCTCCTGCCACTGGCTCCACCTGGTGGATGACAGGCCATACACGGCCAGTTACTCCCAAGTACTTAGCCCTTCCTCAGTGACACAGGCCCTGAGGAGGAGGCCAGTCCCCCCTTTTCAATAGGACCCTGTGGGGATCCTGCTGAAGACTCAGGGACTATGGCCAAACTCTGCAGCCAGATCTTGGTCCCAGCACAGGGCCAACCTGGAAAGTGAGAAAACTTGTCCTTACTGGGTGATCTTGTCTTGCACCCACTGGTCCGTTAGTCCAATGATGGCCCACCTGGAAGGAGAGGAAAAGGTGTGATGGAGCTGGTCTACACCTTGCCAGGTTCAATAGGGCCTGTGGTGTAGAACAAGGAAATGGAACAGGTGGCCTGACCCACCTTTGGTCAGGCAGAGGTTAGAGGGGCAACTTGGGCCTCACAATGCAGTGTGCCACCAGGGGAGCTTTAGGTACACACAGGAGGGAAATCTCTCAGGACAGGGACAACAGCTGCGACAGGAACCAGTCCTCCTGTCCACTTCCAGGCCCTTTCTGTCCTTGTCCTGCCCAAGCTATATTCCCGGCCTCAAACTCAGAACAGAGACAGAGTAGGACCACAGCAGAGGCCTGTGCTCAGCTGCTGAAGATGCTGCTTCACCTCTCAGCCCTTCACTGTCACCTGCTCCCAGCACATGGGGCCCTGGTCATGCCCACATCTACTTATCCTGCACCATAAATGGCAGGATGTAAAGGAACAGCTTTTAGGCCTCTTGAGAACCTCCAATGTCCTATCTCCAAGCTCCTCTTTTATCCATGAGACCCAGGCTGGGGCCTGACTTCCCAGGATGATGACCAGTTCATGGCAAGAGCAATCGGGTTGACTGTGCTCAGATGCACCGGGTCTTCAGGTGCTGTCCTTCAAGACCTCCAAGGTCACAGCCAAGGACGCTCTGTGCACAGTAAGGCAGAGAGGCCCAGAAGATCCCTTGCAGGATGACAAGGTACCCTGTCATCCTCATCATAGCTCCCAGAATGTGGCTGGGAGGGAACTCCAGAAAATTTCACCCAGCCGGTCTTCCCTGATGGAACCTCCCTCCCGCCAAATTCTGATTTTCCTATATCTGCGTTTCGTATCATGTTATTTTGCATTTCTCGTGCTGTTTCTGGGGCTTTCTGACATCACCACTAAACTGAAAGGCTTATTATAGTGAGTGGTTGTTGAGGGCCCTGCTGAACACACAGTAGGTGCTCACTGAGGTACCTGTTCCTCAGTGCTAATGCCTAGGCATTAGTAGAACACCACACTCAAATGACACTAGATGGAAGCCAGAGGTGAGAGCTTAGAGGTCTCTCCCACACAGCAGGCTGGGTTCATTCTCTCACTTCCTTTAAATGAATGACCTGGGCATTTTTCCATGAACTTCAAGTGACCATACTCTGTTCCCTAAAAATTCTGCTACTTGCCATATGCTCCTCTCTCTCTCTGCCAGCATAAATGGGTTTCCCGTGTAAGGGACCTTGGACACAGGTCAGAAAGCTAGGCCTCAGGCCATCCTCCTGGCAAAAGTATCCAAGAAAAACCCATTGTGGACAGCATGTCCAGTCCCTTTGTTTCCCGTGAAGGCAGGGCTGTCCACCACTCTGGTACTGCTGTCCTCATTTAGATGGGGGCTCTCAGAACAATGACATAGTCACATGCCACATCACCACTACAGGACTCCTACCTGGCCTTACTGTGGGACCCTCAGTGTGAGACCTTAACATTGATCCTGGGGTATGGGGATTATTACTTCCACACCATGAAGGATAATTCAAACCTGGGAGGACTGAGTGAACTGGCTGAGTAGTTGGTGGGCACAGAGCCAGGCGCCAGCATGCAGTTCAGGGAGGAGAGCTGGGGGCTGGTAGAGAGAGATGCACTGCCATCTTTACATCAAGGTGATGACAGAGCACCCTCAGGCCTAGTGGTTACCTTGCACTAGCACCCCTCACTGTCCTGAGACTCTAACTCTGTGCAGACCATTATAATCCCCACAGCGGATGAGGCCTAGCCAGACCATCATCTTGCAGAGAAAACCAGGAAGTGGTGGAGTCAGGCCAGATCTACATTCTCTTCATGCAGAAAGACTGCAGATTCCATTTCTAGGTAACCCAAGTGGACAGTAAGAGCCAAGTCCTCCTGATCTGTGTGCCAAGTGTTTCACCCATAGCCCGTACAGTGGACTTGGAGCAGGATGGTTCTTCCTGAATCAGATCTTACCATGTGCCAGGTCTGCAGAAACACCTATCAGGCTACCTTCTTCACACTTCATATCTGACACTCTGCACCACCCCAATTTACTGAGCACAAGCTAAGCAGCAAGGGGGGTATGGAGAGCAACACCTCCCACCCTCTGCATACTCTAACCCTCAAAGTCCCTTGAGTATCACAGTTACAAAGACCACGGCCGTGTACATTCCTAGAAAGGGACTGTCTGACACTCCTGGTAGGGATGAGGGACGTGCCCTCCCTGTGGGAGAAAAGAGCTGCTCACATAGAATTGACCTAGGTAAGTGGCAATATGCGCACATAGCTGCTGCATGGACTACATACCACAGCATGTCGTTCAGGTCCTTGGACATCATCCACGCCAGGTCAAACATCACCATGGCCGACTGCAAGGAAGTGAAGAAGCCTGAGGCCCAGGGCAGCCATGGTTGCCGGAGGGACACACACTGGGGGCAGGCTGTGCATCTGGACTGGACCTGAGCCAGTGGGGGCTCTGGCCCAGCCCATGTAGATGGAGGGTCCACCCAGCCAGGGCACACAGGTAGATTTCAGCCCAACATACACACTAAACTAACAAGTCCACACTACACAGAGGGTAGAAAGACTGAGAGTATTAATAACTCAGTGGACCTGCACATGCTCGTCTCTAAGCTCAAGTACTCACTGTCTACATACTTTATCCTGCAACAAGGGAAGAATGGGAGGAATGTGTGGCGCAGGGGTAGCCAGGCGCAGCATTGGTTGGAGCCTCTAAATCGCTCACTGGGTTCATTGATGATGCCTGAGGCAGGCACTGAAATCTGGAGGTCAGGAGACCCCCATCAGCTTCCTGGCCCTGCATCCACATACTCCTCCTTGCTGGCTGGTGGCCTCAAACACATTCCCAGGAAGGCCAGGTGACATAGCACCCTGATTCCAGTACCTGGACATTAAAGAGCAAGGTGCCTTAGGATCCCTTGTGAGGAAGATCTTTACAACAGGACCGTTCACCAACAGAGGCACTGAGCTCCTTGTGAGCAGAGTGTCTGGGTTTGGTTAGAGACCTCAAAGAGGTCTGGTGTTTGAACAGAAGGTCCTAACGTCCTCTTAGCTGTGAAAGGCTGGGCTTTCTCCAGGGAGAGGATTTCCAAGAAATGTATTTGGAGGGAGACAGACATCCTCTCTGGGCAAGCATCAAAACTCTCCCTTTCCACTGCTTTGAATTTTCCCTTTGCCAGGGCTGAGCCGAGACAGCAAATGGATGCTTCTTCAAAGAACAACGGACCCTTGACAACAAAAGGGACATTGGAAATATCATGCTCAGCGTCCAAGGTCCCAGGATCAAATTCTAAAACTAAATACAGGATGTTATTGGAAACTTATTTTCTAGAGCTTCCTAAGGCACTGAGCTCTGTTCAACAACAACAGAAACAGCACAGGAGGTTTTCTATACTAAATTCTGTGCTGTAAAACATACACACTGCCGTGCCTTTATAAGTCAATGGGGTTTTAGCTTCTTGCACAGAGATTAGTACAGACATTCTGTATTTTTATGATGAACAAAAATAAATGCTGCTATTCTTTGAGTAGTGGGTGCAAGGGACCATTTTTTAACAATTGCCTCTGAAATGAGGATTATTCTCCTCACTTTATAGGGAAGAGAGTCAGGCTTTTAAAGAGGCTGTACCACCTGCCCCAGGTCACACAGTGGGAAGCAGTGGAGATCAGATTCAAATCAGGTTTTCATGGCTCTAAAATCCATGCTCCTTTATCATGTTTTAGGATACTGACCCCTAGAGTCTTAACTTTAGGGTAAAATTTCACCTATTTGTACTTACCGATGTCCCATGATACTCATACTGTTCATAGTCAAAGAGTATATCTCTTCTGTAATGACATAAAACACAAGTCTTCAACAGGAAGCAGCAGTACAGGAAGCCAAACATTTGTAAAAATGCTTAAACTTGACAATATTCAAAGAATGCAAATTAAGTCATAGTACTATTTATTTTCACTTATTGACTCTTTTTTTTGTTTTGAGAAAGCAGGATTTATTAAGAGGACAGAAAAGCTCCCATAGTGGGAGGGAACTCGAGAGGGTTGTCCCACTTATTGACTCTTTAGCAGAATGTGGATATACAATTCTGGGAAATTGACACAAACTGCTTGTGGCAACGTTTGATGCAAAGTGGCATTGTCCCAGAATCCCACTTATGAGAAATTTTTCCCAGAACACTTCAAAACAAGCAAGACAAAACTTGCTGTGCAATTATTAATTGCAGTCTTATTTGTAATGGCAAAATATTGGAAGTAACATACATTTCAAAAAAGGGAAATTGCCAATTAAGTACTATGCAGTTTAGAAAGGCTACTCAGAATGATCTAAAATGGTTATATTAAGTAGAAAAGTACAAAACCAGATGCATATTATGATTATGTAAAATATGCACAAATATGGATAACTCAGGAAGAAAAACCCCAACCCAGAATCTCTTTGAATTAGATAATGAGAATATGGGTTATTTTCACTTTCCTCTCCTTACACTTCCTGAAATGGCTTTACACTGCCCTTATACAAAGTGGTAGTCTCTGCTCCCATGGTGGGAGTACATGTCCTCAGCTAGAATCATAGGAACATCAGCTGCATGACCCAGGGAAACCTCCATGATGGATCCAGCAAAGAATTCCTCCAGGACCCACCTTGAGGGCACTGCTGTATTTCAGTCTGAGTTAGAATAACCTTTCCAATATTTTAATTTAAAGTACTTTAGGCCCAGTGTGGTGGCTCACACCTGTAATCCCAGCACTTTGGGAAGCAGTGGTAGGAGGATTGCTTGAGCCCAGGAGTTTATGAACAGCCTGGGCAACATAGTGAGACCTTGTCTCTACAAAAAATACAAAACATAGCAGAACATGGTGGTGCACAACTGTAGTCCCAGCTACTCAGGAGGCTGAGGTAGAAGGATCACCTGAACCCAGGAGATCAAGGCGGTAATGAGCTGGGATTGTGTCACTGCACTCCAGCCTAGGTGCCAGAGTGAGATTCTGACTCAAAAAAAATAAAAAAATAAAAAAGCATTTGTTTTTTTTGCACTTGTAATAGGAAGAGGAGTTATGAATAAGTTAGTCTCCTTTTCATGCTCTTCCCTAAGAAAAGTTTTATATAATTGGCATCTATTTCATTTAAAGACTTTGCAAATAGAAATAACCTGATAAAAATACATCAGAAAAACATGATAAAAATAAAGAGCTAAGGGTCACAGTCCCTAACAGATGGCATATATGTGGGAGATCTCTGGGCTGTCCTGTCGCTGAAACCAGACAGTGGCCCAGGCTCTCCTCCAAAACAGCAGCCACATGCTCACTCCTGAAGCCACTGGTCCAGAGGTTCTAAACTAAACTTATTATCCTAAGATGGAAAACATATAGGTGTCGGTGGCACCACAGAACCCTGCATAAGTAGGCTCCTGGCACTGGGAACAGCTTGATGTGCGACTTACCTCCGGGCCTCCCACTCTCTCTGCTGCCTCCTCCGCATGGTTTGCTCCACCACTTCCTGATACAGAGACAAAGAACAAAAATTGGAGCATATGTGCCAGGAATTTAACCCTATAGCCTAAGAAGGTTCCAATTTGGCAGAAGCCTGTAGGCTCAGACCTGAGAGAGAACATGATCACCCCCTTGCCCTGAGCACAGCCGTTCCTGAAGAAAGGAGCTGAGGCAGGGGACCCCTTCTGGCCCCTGCACAGCAGACTCCTACTCTTGCAAAGCTATAGCAAGACACCCCAATCTCTCTGCCTGGTAGTGTCAGAAGGGAAAAGGTGGGAGCTGCCACCCCTGCTGGCTGGTGACAAGCCCACGCCCTACTCCCATCCCAATGGTGGGAGAGCCTAGACTATCACCCCCATCTGGCTGTAATGAGGCACCCCCTTCCTCCCTGCTGGGGGGTAACAGAGGAGGCAAAGCAGAGAGTTTGAACCTTCATTGCTCAGCAGTAACAAGGAGTCACTCCCCTCAGGTGTCAATGGAAATCAGGTGGGGAACCTGAACTTCTACCTCCTTCTGGCCCACCACCGCCTCACTAGAGCAGTGTCAGAGAAAGTCAGCTAAAACAGAGACTATCACAGTGCCTGCAACTTATTCTCCAATGACCCAGCCCCTCCAAAAAAAATGCACAGAGAGAAAAAACAAATATGGCAAACATGAGCAACAATTTGACAAAATTTCAAAATAAAAAAGGTAGTGGGAAATCATGCATATTATACGTCTTAAATGTCATGTAAAGCATTTGCAAACATAAATTCTAAATGGATGTGTTAAGCAGGTAAATGGAAGCTCTGATATGCTCTTGATCTCAACAAGATGACCTACCTGGCTGGGTGTAGTGGCTCAGTCTGTAATCCCACCACTTTGGGAGGCTGAGACGAGAGCATTGCCTGAGCTCGGGGGTTTGAGACCAGCCTGGGCAACTTGGTGAGACCTCATTTCTACAATAAATCACAAAAACTAGCCAGGCGTGGTAGTGTGCATCTGTACTTCCAGCTACTTGGAAGGCTGAGGCGGAAGGATCACCTTAGCCTAGCAGTTCGAGGCTATGGTAGCTGTGAGCATGCCATTGCACTCCAGCATGGGCAATAAGAGTGAGACTCCAACTCAAAAATAAAAAAAAGATGACTTAACATCTCTTCATTGCCAAACCTGCTGTCAATCTCACCAGCCCATTTTTCTGGCAATGCTGGCTATGCCCACCTCCAAACCTCCCCTCCCACCTTGGAGCCCTTGTATCTGTGGAAGCTTTGCCCAGGAATCCCCCTTGCTCCTTCCTTCCTCATACAGGTCTCTGGTCACGTGTCTATGGTCACTTGACACTTTAGAAGCCAGTAGCTGGTTCCCTGTCCAGCCCCTACCCTGCTTTCTACCTGAAACCTTTTTCCTCATTGTGGTCATTTATGTGTTTGAGATCCATCTCCCCATTGGAAAACTACACAAAGGCGACTTTGCTCTACTCTTTGGACTCCAGAGCTTGACTGCTGCCTGGCACATAGTAGGGGCTGAAAAACTATTTGCTTATCAGTCAGAATGGAGAATTCCAAGACTTAGCTGCAGAACATGAATGTGTCTGGGGAAAATCTCACTGGAAACTGATATTTGGAGACCTGCAAAAAGTAGCTCATCGATAGTAAAAAGAATGCTATAAAAAAGGAACATTCGGAGAATAAAAAAGAGCTTTTGGAAATAAAAAATCAGAAGATAAAGACTACCTGGGTATGGTGGCACATGCTTATAGTCCTAGCTACTCAGGAGGCTAAGGCAGGAGGATAACTTAAGCCCAGGAGTTTGAGGCCAGCCTGAGCAACATAGAGATACCCTGTCCTTAAAAAAAAAGAGGATAAAAACCAAAAAGTCTGCCAGAAAACAAAACAAACAAAGAGCTGAGGGAAAAAAAAGCAAATCTAAGAGTGGATCCAAGAGGTCCTCTATGAGACACCTGAAACTAGTGAAAGGGGAGGCAAGCGTGAGAAAGATGAGGAGAGAAAAGCATGCTTTGCTTTGAAGGATACCACCTCTTCCCCAGATTGAGAGTGTTCTAAATGTCCCAAACATGCCTTGAAAGGGCTCTACAAAAGCACTTTAGCAGGAAACATCAGGTTGAGGATGAAGGGAAGACCCTAAAACATTCCAGGGGCAAATTCCAGGTGACGCACCAAGGATCAGAAGCCAGAGGGCATTAGCTACTTCAACAGCAACACTGTACCCTAGAATAAAACACAGCCCTACATTCTAGAGGAACAAACAACTCCTTCTTGCCATTCTACATCTAGTAGAAGCTGTAGTATTGGGTAGGCCCCTGCTGTTGGCTGAGCCCCAGACAGCTAAGCAGTTCAGACCCAAGGCCCACACGGTGCAAACCACTCGTTCTTCACACATAAAATTCTTCCCTGGAGTGACCATCAAGGAATGAGCTTGGCCAAGGGCCACAGACCTGCACTGCTCTTCTTTAGTGACTCCACAGTAATTGATGCCAGAGGAGAAGAGAGAAGGAAGGAGAAGTCTGCTTTTTTATTGTTTCTCTTTCTCACTTTTTTGCTATGTAACACAGAGTTGAGCTGTTCTAAGTTTCATTTCATCTGATGGGATCCTACTGGGAAGAACAGGAAGCTCTAGCTCAGAAAAATCCAATAACCTGCCTGAGACCACACAGCCAAGAGACAGCAGAGCCCAAGTCAGCACTCAGGTCTACTAACTCCTCCACTTCCCACTGCCCCAGTTATGTCTGGGCCTGAGAGGCTCTGGAGATGACCTCTGACATCTGGTAGTGCAAACTTCTCCAGAGTGCCATGAGAGGTCTAAACATACCTCTTCTAACCGTGTGCGCTTCTCAGAAGGCTCTGACCCATCGCTGTCATTTCCCGAATGCTCTTCATCCTCCTCTTCATCCCTAAAGATATCATCGTAGGCAGGGACTTCAAGGTCATCATCTTGTTTAATAAGTAATTTGATCTAAGTTCAAAACAAAAAGCAATGAAATCTCCCCTCTCTCAACAAAAAACTACATATAACAGTGTTTTTCTCCTGCAGAATCTTATCACTTCCTAATTAGCTGACTCATAGCTTCAGGTATGTACAAATAGCCACCTCTGTAAGAAGTGTTCCAGACTTGTCAGACATCATCTTTTCATTACCACTAAATAAGGTGCTGTAATTGCACCACACATGGTATGCAGAAATTCTGAAAATCTGAAAACAGTTTTTTGAAAGCCACCCACAGTCTACTTAAGTCTGGAAAAGCAGCTCCCTCTTACGCCACTTATCAGCAAAATGAATGCCCTACAAGTGTCCTCTTATAGAGGACATGAAGATGTGCAACCCCTAGGTGGATAAAACTGTCTCTAAAAGCAAATCCAGGCCAATTGCTCTTCCTCCCCTGAGAATTTCAGAGGACCAAGTCAGAGAATGCCGAGGTGGCTGCTCTGTGCCAGGTTGCATGCTTGCCGCACAGGGGTTCAAAGATTATGTGCAGTAGCATCATTTTAAGCTACAGAGTTCTGGTCCCCACGATTTCCAGGTCAAGCGGATTATGCAAATACATTCTGAGCATCTCCAAGGGCAAGGCCCCACATCTCTTGTCAAAGATAGCTAAGACCAGGTCCTTGTACTCAGGCTGCCCCCACTCCCAGAGGGGAACTTGACATGTTTTGCTAAGAACACCAGGTGCAATGTTGTATGTGGCATAAAAAGGTACAGATGGATTGAGGGGAGACCAAAGAAGAGGTGAGGCTCCAAAGTCTTGGGTACCTGGGTGTCATTGTACACATTCACAACGTTGACTGGCCTGTGGGTGTCACACACAAAAAATGTGGTGTCTTCATCAGGTTGAAGGATATCCAGTAGGTCTACATTAGCTCCACAGTTTATGAGAATAAAATAGCGGAACTGGAAAAAAAAAAAGAAGCACTGCAAAGTAACTGCATCAAGGAGGCTCCTTTTCTTTCACACCAGGCTTCTGAGTCTCCCCACTGAAACTCATTAAGTCCCTGATATGTGGCAAGGCCCACACAGCAAGGGGCTCCAAAAATGGCCACAGCTGGTATGCTATGTGCTTTTATACACCCTACGTATTATTTCATTTCCACAACAACACTGAGGTGGCTGCTGTGGCTCTCCCTGCTTTCCCCAGAAACACATGGATGCACAGGGTCAAGAAACTGATGAGGAGCAGACCAAGACTTTCCATGCATCTCTTCAGGTCTCATGGTACTGGCTGCACAGCCTCTCCATGTTAATAGCACTGCACAAGTTTACATTTTAGCAAATCTAGGATAGTGCATACTTTATGGGCACCTAAATATTAAATCCTTTACCAGACTCTATTACTACAGAGTGATATTATTGTTTCTCTATTCAGTTTTTTGCTATCTAGCCACAGAGTTGAACTGTCCTAAGTTTCATTTCATCTGACAGAATCCTACTGGAAAGAAAAGAAAGCTCTAGCTCAGAAAAGTCCAATAACCTGCCTGAGGTCACACAGCCAGGGAACAGCAGAGTCACGGTCAGCACCCATGTGTGCCTTATAAATACCAAACTGACACAGGTCTCTGAAACGGGAATACCAGGTGAGGAATTAACTCTGTCAAAAGTCCTAAATTGGCTTTCTTCCATGCGCCAGCCCCTCCCCGTGGGGTCCACAATGTCCCATCTTTCATGTAGCCCCATGCAGAGGTAGGAGCCTTGGCCTCTACTCTTTAAATTCCAGAAGAAGAATATGTTACCAGATTTCAAATTGGAATATGGATGCATTTTCTTGAAGAGATAATGTAAAATAGTTATGCAATAAAAAGTAGAAATACCTAGGCAACATTAAAAACTGCTAAATTCTAAGCACATTACAAGCAAATTTCAGGCAAACAAGTTCAAAGTTAGGGGCTGTCCACATTCAGTATCTTTTTTTTGTTGTCAATTTTGTCCCCACAACTTGTTGTCAATTTTGTCACCAATATATGTAGCTTACATTTTTCTTCCATACTACGTAATGTAGTTGATACTTAAGTATACACTCAACCTATTGTGGAACTAGAAAGAATGTTAAGTGTTAAGAAATTGCAATTGAGTAAAAAGCCCAGTAATTCTAAAATGCATCTTTCATACCTGTTCTTTATGTTCAAGAAATGCAGTTTCAAGTTCTTGCCACCCAGAAACTGGAACCAGCGTGTACTGCACGTGGTCACACTGGAACAGAGCCTGGAAAGAGAGTGTTTCCAAAGACTTTCTTAGTTAGGATGTCTGCAATTTACCTTGAAATGCACCAGAAAAAAAAAACAAAACCATATGAGTTGAGAGAGAAGAGACACATGATAACATAAGGTTAGAGAAAGGTTCATGGGAAAAGCTGGGTGGTGGGGCTATGAGTGTTCACTGTACCACACTGTCAATTCTGCTAGATTCTTAAAATATCACCAAAGTAAAACATTGGGAGAAAAATTCATCTTACTTCCAGATCTTCTGAGAGGCTCGACTCCATGTGGACATTGCACCCTATTCAAAACCAAACCAAAGATATTCCCTAATAGACAAAGGGTTCCTGTGTGTCCAGCACCACTTAGGACACCATTGTGCCCTCAGGTGTCAGATTCCTCTCTCTCAAACACTGCATTTGAGAGGCCACTACACGTCCAAAGGTCTCCCAAACGCAACCATTTTCTTCGCCTAGGTTACAGCAAAAACACAAACGCGTCTCCTTGCCTCTTGTCCAATCATTCTCGAACCCACCTGCTGTGCAGACTGGGAGGCGATCTCGCAGAGTCTCTTTCTTCTCATCAGCTCCCTCCCATCAGTCCCTGCCGGACCTGCCCTCCCAGCGCTGCCCAAACTCACCTGAAGGATCTTGCAAGCGCACAGGGCATCCACGTCCGAGGCCACGAAGAGAAGAACCCTCTGTCGGGGAAGAGCCGGCGGGCCTTGAGTGCGGCGCCCGAACTTCGGCCTTCCCCGGTCCTCCCGGCTACCCACGGCCAGCCCCCAGTATCCCTTCCACCCAGCCAAGGCCTCTGCCGAGATCCTGGACTGGGAGTCACCTGGCTCTGGACCACCTCGTAGAACTCTTTGCGGAAATCGGACACGAACATAGCCACGGCGGCCAGACACCTCGCGCTCACTCTGAGACACCAAGAGCCCAGTGGTGGTCAAGACTCCCGCCAAATCATGACTCTTCCGATTGGTCCAGGGGTCATCAGCCAATAGCTTCTTAGTTCCCAGCCTAACTTCTTTCCTGACTGGGCTATATTGGGGGCGGGCACTAGCGATTCACCAATCACAGCTGGAAAACTGCGGCTCCGCCCCAAAGAGGCGTCATCTCGGAGGCTGGACGAAAACTCTGTTGCTCCTTTCAACTCTTGACTAGCGTTTACCCAGAAACCCGACGCTCGGCGGACATCTTTACTTTGGGAAAAGAAGCCTACTACCTCCCACCAGGAACCCAGAAAAAAAAAAATGCACTTCCAGCCATAAATTAAATTCAATCATATATCAAGTGAGGGCGGCAGTTACGTTTTCAATAAGTCCTTGGTTTGGTTTGAAGGCGAATGTGTAGCTGACTTCCGCCCGAGCTCTCGATGGCTGAAGCAGAGGCTGAACGTTTTAAGTGCATTCTGGGTAGTGTGGTAAGGAAAATGGACTCTACCAAATTCGTCTGAGGGGATTACTATCAAAACATAAATTAAGATTTTTTTTAAAAGCATCTCAGAACGGGGACATAAGTTATGAAAGGGTATTTTAGTCTTTATACTAAAGAAATTTTAGATTTCAGAGCCTCTGCTTTGCTTTTTGTCTTTTGTAGGCGAAGCCTGACTTCGGCAGTTCCCCCCCGCCCCCGCATCTCAGGTGCGACACTTCCAGCGAGCCTCCAGGAGCGTCCCGGCATCCGTGCGGTGGCGGTGGCGAGAAGAGAGCTCGGCGGGTCCCTTCCCGGCGTATTCCGAGAAAAGCAGCGTCTCCGACGCGGTGTCCATCATGGTGAGAGCCGCTGGGTCGGGGTCGGCGCGTGGGAGCTGGGGGCTGGGATCCGAGCCCGAGCTGGGCCCAGCGGGGCGAGACCGCAGCGGAGATGCCGAGTCACCCGGGCCTGCGCCCGGCCTGCTGCCCATCAGGGCGCTTCGGGCAGGAACTGGACCCTTGACCACGAACCATCTTTGGCTGCGTCCGCCCGTCCGGGTTCGCATCCCGTTGGACTTGGGTTCTTTGTGGGTTAAAGGGACGTTTGTGTACACCCATGGGTCTCTCAAGTGCTGGACACGCAACAGGTTTCCACAAACACAAAGTTAGTTGGAAAATTGTTGAGGGTGGGGACAGAATCAGACGCTCCCTAGGGAGAACCATAGGAGGCATCCCTGTGGGCAGGGACCCCCAGCCTTGCCCTCTGCTTCCAGGTTTACGCCTTCTCTGTTGTGTTCAGTGGTGATAACGGTAGTAGCTTGTATTTGCTGGCGCTTTTGTTCGTTGCACAGTTTTCTTTATTACCTACAGCCCCTCATCACACCTTAACCCCCTAAGCCGCCACAACTCCTTTGAAGGCAAGGATGCTTTTTATAGTTTTAACCATAAGGAAACTAAAATTTACGGAGATAATTTACTCGATGTCACACGGTGGGGGGAGGGGGATTTGAAGCAAAGTCTAATTGACTGCAAAGCTGTCTCATTATCACTGCACAATATTGTCTCCGTGTCATGTTTATTTTAGTAAAAGCACAGAATAATTATTATATTTTACCCTAAGTGTGTCACTGTCTGATGGTATTTCTATTCGCAAGTTCTTCCACCTTAACAGACACTGAATATATGCCTGGCAGTGTGCTAGGCATCAGGGTTATAAAAGAAAGTAAGACATGGGATTGAGAACAGGGAGAGGGCAGAAGGTCAGATTCATAGGTGAATAAAGGCGGGCGTTAAGGGTGTTATGTACTTTATGCGGGTTTACCTTTCACGTTGCAAGGAGAAGAAATTACATGAGGCAGCCCAGCCAGAGGCTCTCAGGGGAAGCCCCTAAGCCCTCTGGCCTTGTTCATCCAGAAACACTATTTCCTCTGTTATGCTTCTGGCCACGATTTAGTTGAACATAGTTCTGCTACACAAAATAAAAAAGACAAAAGATGGAAGACTTATGTGCTAGAGTTCCTGGGAGTGAAGAACCATCCAAGATTGTAGGCAGGAGCATACTGTAGCATTTTAGGAAGACAGCTGATTCAACTTGCTAATTTTGGAATTGCTAGTAAACCACTTTGTCTGTAGGTGGCTTTCCCTCTACTTAATTCATATTTGGAATCAAGTCAAGAAATCTTATCTGAGTGGTTTTTTTTAGTTGTGGTAAAAATAAAAAATAACTTTAGTCATGTTAATCATTTTTAAGTGTATAGTTTAGTGCTGTTAATTATATATTCACATGGTTGTGCAATGGATCTCCAGAACTTTTTCATTTTGCAAAAGTGAAACCCTATTCCCATTAAACAATAACTCCATTTTCCTCCACAACCCCTGGCAATCACATTCCACTTTCTGTCTCTGTGAATTTGACTAAATTCCTCCTATAAGTGGAATCCATTTGCAACTGACTTATTTAATTTAGCATAATGTCCTCAAGGTTCATCCATGTTGTAGCTTGTGTCAGAATTTATTTCCTTTGTAAGACTGATTAATATTCCATTTTATGTACACACCACAGTTTGTTTATTCACTTATCTGTCAATGGACACTGGGGTTGCTTGCTTGTACCTTTCTGCTACTGTGAATAATGGTGCTGTGAATATGGAGATACAAATATCTCCTCAAGATCCTGCTTTCTATCATTTTGAATGTATAACCTATTGTGAGATTTTTATATGGTTTAGGTACCCGAGGCCAACCACAGTCCAAAAGTATTACAATATTTTGAGAGACACCATATTCAGAAACTTCTATACAATATAGTTATAATTGTTTTACCTTATTATCAGTTGTTAATCTCTTAACGTATCCAATTTATAAATTAAACTTTATCATAGGTATGTATGTATAGGAAGAACCTTAGTATGCATAGGGGTTCAGTGTTATCTACAGTCCCAGTTGTCCACTGGGGGTCTTGGAATGTACACTTCATTGATACAGAGGAGGGTAACTACTGCACTTTGAGAAGACCTCAAATTGATATGTATCATGTTTGCTAAGCCTCATCTTAGTCCACAGTTTAAGAGTTCAGTGGCACCATGTCTTCTTTGTGTATTGATACAAGAAAACTTCACAATACAAGAAAACTTCACAAATGTAACAGTAAGTGTACTTACTCTGTGCTGTGAGAACGCACTGGAGGGGCACTGGTCCTGACTTTTGGTTGAGCAGGGGAGGCTACCTGGAGAAATGAAAGGATGGTAATTGGAAGCCAGGGAAAGAGATACCAATACTGGGCATGTGCTTTTCCTGCTGCGTGGAATGCCCTTCCCTGTTTTCTGCCTGGGTCCTTTGCATTACATTCGGGTCTTTGTACAGAGAGTCCTTTCCTGACCATCTATTTTAAAATAAAATAAGCCAGACATAGTAGCTCACACCTATAATCCCAGAACTTTGGGAGGCCAAGGTGGGAGGATCACTTGAGCCTGGGAGTTCGAGACCAGACTGGGCAACATAGCGAGACTTCATTTCCCCAGAAATTTTTTTAAAAATTAGCCAGGCATGGTGGTGCGTGCCTGTAGTCCCAACTACTTGGGAGGCTGAGGTGGGAGGATTGTTTGAGTCAGGGAGTTTGAGGTTGCAGTGAGCCATGATTGTGCCATTGTACTCAGCCTGGACAACAGAGTGAAATGCTGGCTCAATAATAATAATAATAATAATAGTAAAAGAGTGAAACGCTGGCTCAATAATAATAATAATAATAGTAAAAGAGTGAAACGCTGGCTCAATAATAATAATAATAATAACAACAACAACAACAACAACAATAAAATAGCATTCCCAGGAGTGCTCTGTCCCCTCATTTAGCTTCTTGTCTTCAGAAGTGCCTGGCACAGGTTTTCTTTTGTGTGTCTCTTGATATGCAAGTGTTAGCTCCACCAGGGCAGAGATGATATCTATTTTATTAGTGGACAAACACCACTAGATTGAGGTTTCTCTAGTGCTCAGATGAGAGCCTGGCAGACAGTAGGCACTCCATAAAGAGATGTTTTCAATTAAATGTTTATTAAACTAATGATAGTAGGAAACATGTTCCAGTCAGGGGAACTAGTCCAAGCAGGAACCTAACAGGTTTAGGAAACAAGTCTCTAGCAGGTGTGTAAGAGGTCAGGCTTTGATCCTAAAGATGGGGAGAGCAGGGGGCCCATAGGAGGCAGCCCTGGAAAAGGGTCAAGATAGGCTTGGTGTGGCCGGTTTTATATTTTAGTAAGATCACACTTCCTAAAAACGATGGAGGCTAGATCTGAGAGATGACACTGGGTGTGACAGAAAGAATTTGAGGTTCACCATGCTACCCGGGAAGTCAGAACATTCTGGTCATCAAGATGTCAGTATTTTTTGTTCTTCAAGGACATTTAGCAGCAGTAACTACCCAGGTATGTTTTGGCTTTTGGTGTGAAGAATTGTACCTTTGTTCTGTTCTAATACCAGCTTCTCTTTCTTCCTTCCAGTTCTCTTTTAACATGTTCGACCACCCGATTCCCCGGGTCTTCCAAAACCGCTTCTCCACACAGTACCGCTGCTTCTCGGTGTCCATGCTAGCAGGGCCTAATGACAGGTCAGATGTGGAGAAAGGAGGGAAGAGTATGTGCTTGTTTTTATTTTGAATAGTAACCTTTCCTGCCCAATGTCTGCGATGCTTATAACCTTCAACAGTCCTTACTTTGCATGTGGGAGCCAGAAATTAGTGATACTGTGAAAATGGTGCTTGTGCCAAACTTGCTGAGTTGGGGTGGGCAGTGCGTGTGGGGTGCTAATTATGGTTAGATTTATGGATGGTAGCCATTCAGTTCCCCAAAATAAATTGCATCAAGTAGGATTCATTATGAAAGATCACTATGAAATTCTGGGTACCTAAAAACACTATTTTTGTTAGCTATAACAAAAACTGCATCTTGCTTTTGGTCTGTCCTTTTAATTTTTTTTGATATTTCTTAAATTTTCTTTCCACAGTAATTATGCCACCTTCAGCCCTTGATCAACTCAGTAAGTATTTTCAAAGTAACTCAAGAACTTAAATATGTAATATGAGGCTGAGTAAGGTGGTTCATGCCTGTAATTCCAGTACTTTGGGAGGCCAGGCAGGAGAATTACTTGAAGCCAATGGTTGGACATGTGTAAATATGGATACCAGGAATCAGCATAAGTATCTCAGTACATCTAGTCACAGGTGTTTTTTGTCAACATCTGGTTGTGAATAGTCCCTGGAGGGTGCAAGCTGGGCTAGGAGAACAGCACCATACCACACATACCTAGGGCGAGGCCCATGAGCACTGGCTTTATCACTGCCCTGGGTGCTTCAGGTCCATTGTCTGTGATAGGGTTCCCCACCTCCATGCCCCTGTCCTCCCAGCTTGTTTCGGGATTCTGTCAGGACTGAATGTATCTCGTGCTTTGCACAGTATCAGGTTAGTTGATGCCATTGGCTGGGCTCACTAGGTCTTCTTCTAAAGAAGAATTGGTCAGTTCACAGGAAGATGCTATGAGGCAAGTTTCTTATCTCCTCACCAAATATTTTTCCTGAGCTTCAGATTCACATTCTAGCCCCCATCATGCCATGGCATCCTCAGCATGCCAAAAACTGAGCTATAGTCTTCTGCCCAGCTCCACTTGCTGACTCCTGCCTCTTACAGGAGTTGTAAGAGTAGCCATGCTCTTTCCTGTTTTTCCCCAGCCCCTTGTTCTATGAGAGTAACCTGGAGACCCCACATGCCAGCCCCATACTACATGGACAGGAAAACCCCAATTGTGGCAGCCCCACTCATGGTAGTAGTCATTGCCTTTTAAGACTGGGGGTATTTTTGGAAAGAATTCCTCCTATGTGAGGCAGGAGACTGGAAACTGACCAGGGAGACAGATCCACACTTGTGTTGGGGGCACATGGTGGCAGCATGAAAAGCACAGGCTCTAGCTCTAGTGTCACTTGGCTTCGGTCTGTTACCCAGCCTGACTCTAGGATAGCAGCTTGGCCTCTGTAAACCTCATTATCCTCTTCTTTAACTGAAAAGCAGTTGTATACAACACCTGTGCATCAGAGGTGTTGTAGCATGTATGTGAACAACCCAAGCCCATCTGATGCCATCCACAAGGGGGGATGTGACCACTAGTCAGCACCAGCTGTGGCCATACCCAGAGGAGGCCCAAGCTCAACCAGCGGATGGGTAGAGCCATGAATTCCCAGTCCTCACAAATACCCTGTCATTACAGGGAAGGGAATAGGCCCCCAGAGAGGTCTTCCTTTTGGGGTACACCGAACCAGGCACTAGGCGTGACCCTTGGTACAAGTGTCCAGAAGAGACTCAGGAACTGAGTCACTGGGGTTTAGATCAGATCAGTGTTGTTCAAACCTTTTAAGTGATAGAAGAAACTCTTTTTGTACAAATAAAATTTATAGGGAGTCCTCTATAAAATACAGGTCACTGTGGTTGGAGGAGGTTAGTGGGTGCAGAGGGCTTGGGAGCCTCAAGGCACTGCTCTAAATCACAAAATGTAGTTTGAGAGGGACACTGGAGAGTCGCTGCCACTTGTAATGATCTTAGGCGTGCTCTGGGAGGCAAGGCTATGTGGAGTGGGCAGCAGGAAGCTCCCTCCAGGGAGGGTACCAACTGAACAGGGTCTTCTTTCACAGGAGCCATGCCTCATGGCCTTTCTCTTTTTCAGGCCGACTTAACATTACCTATCCTATGCTATTCAAACTGACCAATAAAAATTCAGACCGCATGACGCACTGTGGCGTGCTGGAGTTTGTGGCTGACGAGGGCATCTGCTACCTCCCACACTGGGTGAGTGGGGTCCCTAAGGGCTCTGAAGAGTCAGTGCCCCTTGGCAGTGGGGGGCCTTGTAGGCAGAAACCCTTTCCGCATGAGAGTCCTGATTCTGGAGTGGGTGGCCTGGCTCCTCTTGCCTTAGCATCTTGGTCTGACCTGACCTGGTAAGAGGGAGGGGATAAGCTGTGGACACACTCATGGGCTGCTGGGCTATAGAGATGGCCTTTTCTTTGATAGTTGCTCAGCTGGTTGTCCAGAAACCACAGCCAGACTATTCATCTGTGATTTCCTGGGTCAGGCTTTTTTACAAAGAATGGAGCAAGAGTATTTTTTAAGTGGTCTAGTAAGATTAGAGTTTCAGATTTTTGTTCTTCCCCCTACTTTTAGTAGTTTCTGTCACTGCGTGCGAGTTTTCAGACACTTACCTATCATTGAGTCTTCCCAACACCCTTGACTGAGTTGCCATAGGAATGACGCCTTTCTTCTTGCACTCAGGCTCTCTCCATTTGTGTAAAGGTGACTTGAAGAATGTCACTGCAGGCCTAGGATTGGAATATCAAGGATGTGAGAGCCACCAGAGCTGGCCCCAGGGCCATAACATCTCAGAGGCCAGCAGAACTGCACTAGCACCCTAAGGAGGAACTTGGGGCAGCGAGAGTTCCACATGAGTGGCCTACTCAGCTCCCTCCTTTCCCCATCCTGTGGCATACTTAGACTCAGAAGCCCACAGAGGATCTGTGTGTGTCCTTCTCTTTGTGGTTGAATTATGTCAGGCATCCTGAGAGACCCTTTGGTGAGCTGTGGGCTGGGCTCCCTCAGCTGCCACCAGGGGGTTTTTGTTTTTGTTTTTGTTTTTGAGACATAATTTTAAATTTATTTGTTGAAAACATTGCTCCAGTTACTTGAGACATGAACTAGTCATTTAAAAAACATTCATGTACATATCACTATTTGATCCTGGAAGGAAGGTTACTTTTTATTAGAAATAAGAACTGATATGATGGTAATAAACATCAGGGAGATATTCTGAAGCACAACTTGCCTCTCCTGCTGGTCCCCCATCATAGTGATCACCAGACTTTCAGAAGGGGTGGCCTTAATTTACATTTTCTGAAGCTAAATGTAAATAGAAGTTCTGAAGGCCCATTACCCTCCTGCAGCAGGTGACCTTGCCCATGCCACTGTGGTGGTGGCTGCCCTCTACAGTCTGGGTCCCAGGACTCTTCCTGAGGACTGGCAGGCCAGCATCTTCCAACAAGAGCCCTGCGCTCCCATCACACCTCCTGCTGCCTGACTTTCCTGTGCTGACTGACTGACCCTGCTCAGCCTAGGTCTGTGGGGAGCTCTTAGGCCTTAAAGCCCAGACCTGGCTCACTTCATCACTTGCCCTACCAGCACTTGCTTCAGCCCTTGCTCTCCTTGTGTGTATCTGCAGGGACCCCCAGGCCCTGAGGTCATGTTCCTGTCATCCAGTAGAGTGCCTGGTCACTGAAGCCCAAAAATGTCTGCCTGAGGACTGACCTGTAGCAGGCTGACTTTGATCCTTAGAGCACTTCCTATTAGAGCATCACTCTCCAGGGCTGCCAGGACCCAGTCACCAAAGCCTCTCAGCATGCCTCCCTCCACAGGAACTCTTTTTCCCTCACCTGGGCTGTAGTCCCTGACCTCCTCCTCCTTGGGCTGTTAGAGTCACCTCCTAACTGCCACTCCTGGTAGCATTCTTGAAGGAATGTGATACCTGGGCCTGTAGTGTGGACTGGGGCTGGGGAGTGAGTGGGACACTAATTGATGGACCAAGACAGCTCTGATTCAGTTACTGTCGAGCTGTGGGTGCTGGCTGTGTGAAGACTCACTCGTGCAGTTCTCTCTACTTGTATGTATATTTGATATTCCTTCAAAGAAGTTTTCAGATAAGAAAAGCAAAACTCCAGCCAGGTGCAATGGCTCATGCCTGTAATCTCAGCACTTTGGAAGGCTGAAACAGGAGGATTGCTTGAGCTCAGGAGGTCAAGGCTGTAGTAAGCCATGATCATGCCACTGTTCTATAGCCTGGGTGACAGAGTAAGATCCTGACTTTTAAAAAAAAGGAGCAAAACTCTGTCCAGGACAGGTGGAGTGTCTCATTCCTGGCCTCTGTAAGCCTGGGCTCCCTGCACACCCACCTCTCTCAGGCTTTGTTCATCTCTTTTGGTTATTCTCCAGCCATTGTGTACCTTGCTGGGTGGTTTAACAGTGGCATGTGGGGGCTTTGTCAGTTTTGTATAACCCCCATAGCAGACATCACTAGGGCTTTGTCACTACCCCACAGCCTCAGCTCTGGGGAGAGCTGTTCCACACAACATCAGCCTAATCTTGTACTGTCATTGCAGCCCTATTTGCTCCTGAGCCTTGTAAGCTGCTTGTAGGATGACTCGAAGTGCAAGGGTTGTGGGGGAGGGGGGGTGGAGACTGCCCTAGGGAAATATTGCTCCTGGGAGACCTGGTGCTGGTGGCCAATCCAGGAGACCATTCAGAGATGTGCTCTTACTACTGGCTGCAGTGGCCTCAATGGCACCCTTTATTGGCCTTCTGCCTTCCATGTTGCTTGATTTTTTTTCTTCCTTTGTAAGTTACCTAGCTTGCCTCAGTCTGCTTTTCCAGGGACCCAAGTAACACTGGTCTGCCTAGTATGTGGGGTCATGGCAGTCGTAGAAGCTTGTAATCTCCAGGAGTCTCACTTAGCCTCTTCTTCCTTCCAGATGATGCAGAACTTGCTCTTGGAAGAAGGGGGCCTGGTCCAGGTGGAGAGTGTCAATCTTCAAGTGGCCACCTACTCCAAATTCCAGCCTCAGAGCCCTGATTTCTTGGACATCACCAACCCCAAAGCTGTGTATCCTTTTGAAATAAGAAGACTTCTTCTAGGCAAAGGATGGGTTTGCTGGTAGTAAACATTGAGTGTTTATTAAACATGTGCCCACTTTGGGGAACACACATTTGTTTGTGATTGAAGCTGTGATTTGCAATTAACAGGGTTCAGCTAGCATGTCTGTCTGTTCCCTGGCCCTGGCTGAGTGCACTGAGTGCTCTCTGGGCCTCCTCTGGTCACTTTCCAGACACTTCCTGGAAACCAAAGTAGAGTTCTTTCAGTTAGACTGTGTCACCTGGCCCATAGCCAATATGTACAGTGTGTCTATTGGAAGGAGGAGACGGCCTATCTGCCTTTACCCCCAGCCCCTTCTGGGGACCCTTGGTGTCTCCACCACGAACTAGTTGGTGAACCTCACTTTGTGCCTAGGCTCAGGGCTCATTCACTCCAAGCCAGTGGATAGCAGGACTGAGTGCATTTTGTGTCTCAGCAAGGAGAATGCAAAGGGATTAGGTTTAGTGGATTTTTTAATGTTCAAATTTCTGAACTTAAGCCAGGTGTATGTGTTGATAATGTCAGAAGGTGGTCAGTATGAGTTGAGGGACATGGTGTGTGTGAACTATGATCAAGATCTCTGGCTCCATGGCCCCAGTTTGTCTTGTTGAGATCATGGTATAAAAGTGGCTACTCCATTCAATTTATTTTTAAAAACACATTCTTGGGAAAGCAGAACAAAAAGACAGTTGGAAAACATGTAGAAAGTTAAAAAAAAAAAAAAAAAAGCTGCCTGCCTCCTCACGAGTCTACTCTCTTCAGGCACGTTCTAAGGAGCAAGCTATGAACAGTTGCATCCTGGATCCAGATAGGCTGTGTTAAGTCCTCTGCTGCCCATGTTCTGGACATAATGGCTGTGTTGAGCTCCCTGCTGGCCAGGTCCTGAAGAGGGGTTTATTGGACATGCTATAACACAGTCATTGAAGGAGTCCTCCTGTCCCACATATCAGGGGATGTCCTGTGGGAAGAACTGTTAACTCGTTCTTTAGAGATCTGACCTAGAGGTGCTTGTTTGACTGTCAGTGACCAGAATTCGGACCTGCCTCTGTAGCCATAGCCCCTCCTGATTTTCTCTGGGTTTTTACACATTTTCAGATTGCTTTCAGAGGCTGTTTCCATCGGCATAATTAACTTATTAGCATGCAGTGAAAGAATGTCACTTTAGTCAGTTGAGAGGCAGCCTGGTGTTTCCTGGTCTGGCCGAGGGTCTGGCTGAAAGTAGTCTTAGTGTAGAATAGACCAGGTAGGTGGGAAGCTGGTGTCAGAACACACAGAGGCTATGTGAGGAGCCAGCTCCACCCACAGAGGCCACGTGTTCTTGCTCCAGCTCAGCTCCAACTGTGTGGAAATCAGAGCAACTCCCTTGCAGGATCCCTGGGAGGAATCTAAGGAAGGGTACCCCTGCAATGTGGCATTTCATATGCGGGACACAGAAAGAACCTCCACACAAAACGCTTTTCACAGAGCTGTTAATATTCCCAGCTGCCTTCCATTTTCATAGATCTGTCTTTCTCAGGGTTTTGTATGGAGGGATCTTGCTACCCTTTATGGTTGGTTCTTTTCCTTTCTTTCCCTCAGCATGGTGTTTGTGAGATTCATCCATGTGATTGCATGTTAGGAGTTCATTCCTTCTTCTTTTTGAGTCATACTCCATTGTCATAAAAGCTTTGTGTTTTTGGTGTCAGCATGATATACTCTTTACCTACCAGTTGTTGTCTAACCCTTCATGGAGACTTGTTTTGGATTTAAGGTATCCATCTTGCCACGTTGCCTTGACAGTGTATGTCTGTAGATTAGAAAATGCACTGAGAAACTTTGCCTGTCTGACCACCGGAGATGTGATCGCCATCAACTATAATGAGAAGGTGAGCCCAGCTCATGCAGATTGCACCTGACAAGAGCCACCTGCATCATTCAGTCTGGTGTTTGGATAGGGCTTCTCTTTAAGCAGGGTATACCTGGCTTTTACCACCTAACTACTGCCTACTGTTTGCTTTTTTAAATCTTCCTGGGATCATATTTAGAGCCCTAATTCATTTGGCAACTCTCTTTTGAGGATGGATTGCATTTATGGGTAAATAAACTTAATGTTGTCACACTTATTAATCATACCTCTGAGTACCATGGCAGCGAGGCTGCCAGTCCTGCCTCAGCTAAAAAGGACTCCACTGCACCTCTTATCTGAGCTATGCTCTTTGCTGGGCTGTGAGGACAAAGAAACAACCCAGCTAGGTCTTGTCATTGCAATGCCCTCTATTGGAAGCACACTGGTCCTGCAGTGGGGCCAGTGCTGTGGAGTACTGGGAAGCAGAGCCTAGCTCTGCCTGGAGACATTACCTCCTGGGGTCACCTCCCTCCTTCTGAGCCCACAGCCTCATCCTCCTGTCTTCATTAGCTTTGTTTTCCCTTAGCTGCTCCTCTGACCTTGATCCTTCCTGATATGTCTTCCAGGTCTGAGTGCCTCTATGTCCATTCATGATTCTGTGCTGCTTAGGTGGCTGGATCTAGATGGTTTAATTGTAAAGTAAAATGACAAATGATTTCCTACAAAATTCAAGAAGAAGGCATCCCCTTCCCCGTTATGTATGGAAACATGTCTGAGGGAAGAGATAATTGAAAGAACACAGCTCTGGTCTCCTGGAGCTCACACATGACTAAGAGTTGGCAATCCTGCCTTTGAGCTGTCCTGCCACAGCCATGAAGTGCAGCAGTGTGGGTGCCCGTCATCCACTGAGACAGTAGATAATTGACTCCCACGGAGCTGCTGCCAGGGCCGACCTCCAGCATTCAGGTGTGACCCCAGCCTGACTTGGTTTTCCCTGAGGCCAGTGCCCAGGTCCTTCACAGCACTCTGGTCCCCTTAGATGCTGAAACCCTCACAGCCTTGTCACAGCTACCTGTGGTTCAGCTAGTTGCTCCCTTGCAGGATCTAAAGGCCAGTTACTCCCTCGATGCCACATAGGGATCCAGCTTATTCTCTGGAAATTTCCTTATATTTGAGGCATCAGATAACTGATACTTCTTATTTTCCATTTTGTGGGTTTTAAATCACACTTTTCTATTTTTCTATAAACTAAGAAATATTCTATTGCTTTTAGGTATGTGGGGAACATTATAGGTATTGTCTGCCTTAACTGAATACTTTAAGTTTTTATAATTAATTACAGGCAAGTTTAATGTTACAGTTCTTAAGGTTAAGGTAGTAATGTTAATATTAAGTATAATTCCTACAGTGATGATAAAAAATAATACTGATATTGTGCACTATCAGGGAGGATGAGTTAATATGGAGTATACATGGAATTGAAACACAGGTTTGAATTGCCACTTTTGGACATATAAGAAATTAGAACATACCCGAAATTGTTCTTCTGATTAATGTATTGTTGGGCTTATAAGAAATATAGGAGATTTTTAAGAATCTCTCAGCAGGGTTACCCAGAGGTCAAATGGCTATGTCTCTAGTAGTGGAAGATCTGACTTCTGCATGGAACTAGGACCCTAAAATAGACACAGAGGTGGGTTTTGTCCTTGTCCCAGGCAAAGTAAACCCACATTCTCTATGGAAAAAGCACCTGAATGTAGTTAAGTCCTTGAGTTTGCTATCAAGTGAACAAGTAAACAGGAACTCATAATAAAACTACCAGATACAGAAAGCAGAGACAACAGAAACAGATTTAGACCCCTAAGGAAATCAGTAATGAAGTTTCCAGATATAAATATAAGATAAATATGTATAAAATGTCCAAAGATATTTTAAAAATTGAGTCGTAAAATTTAGCAAGCAGCAAAAGCCTATCAAAAATAACCAGGAAGGTTTTTAAAACAAAGAGTTAACAGCTGTAAAAGAGTTAGTGAAAAATAAATATGGAGAAATAACTTATTCTGCACAGAGGAGCAAGGAGATGGAACATATGAGAGCTTGGGATGTTGAAGATACTGAGAAAGTCAAACATCCTCAATGCAAATCCCAGTAGGAGAGCATGGGGGAGTGGCAGTAATCTGAAGAAATGATAGCTGAAATTGATTTAGAATTGGTGAGCAGCCCATCGCTACAGGAAGTATAATATACACTAAACAGGATAAACTGCAAATAGAAAAATACCAGATACAGAGAGGTAAGCAGAGAAAAAAAGACAGAACAGCAAGTAGCAGGCCTTTGAGTAACAACAGCTACAGCCAAAATAAAGCAAATATTATCAAAACATTCTGTAAAGAATGAGGGCAAGATGAAAATATTTTCAGATAAACAAAATCTGAGTGAGGTTATTTACCAGTGGTATTTTAAAATCATGTACTTTAGGAAAGCAAGCAGGAATGGAAAACAAGTAGGCAAAGATGAAGCCAGGGTAAATGTTGCCATATAAAGTAGTAACAATGTTTAATGTAACAGGTTTTAAAAATGACATCTAAACTACTGAGAGAGTTGTCTAGAATTAGTGTACAGTAAAGTTAAATCAATAAAAAGGACAACTGGAAACTCTACATATTGAATTTTTTAAAAGTTGAAAATAACTTTTAGATAAAGCAGAAAACTTAAAAAATAAAAAGAATATGAAAAAATCTATACTAATAAATGAAAGAACTTGTTTGACAGAGATAAATTCTTTCTTAGAAAAAAGTATAATTGATATTTGATTAATGAAAAAATAGAAAGTTTAAATATTCCTATAACCAGTCCAAAAATTCAATCAGAAAAATCCAACTAAAAAAACCCCAGGCCTAAGTGGTTATATGTACAGGTTCTTCTTTACTCTCAAATATTCTAAGAATGGAGAAAGAGAAAATATTCCTCATAATTTGAGGCCACTATATTTTGGTCACCAACACCAGTCAAGAATAGTAGGAGAAAGGTAAATTACAGGTCATTCTCACTTAGATATAAAGATGTGACCACAGAACCAGTCCTGGTCCTGGTAAAACTTGGAGTGTTTGGTGTGTGCTGTGTCCTGCTTCTGTGCAAGAAGACCACATGCCAGTCCAGGAGACTGGACAGTTTTTTAAAATTGTTCTTTGAAGGTAGTTTGAGGACCATAACTCTACTAAGAAATTGTTTAATATCATGCTGATTCATAAAACTAAGTGAAAAATGTCACTTATCCTTACTACATGTAATGTATTCTGGTATACTGTTTTTCAGTTATTTCTTTTCAGTTCTGCTTGCAACTCATTTGGGTTTATAACACACTAGTTGACTATGGCTTGCATTTTGAAAACATGACTGTGGAGAAGTGTGAACTGAGCCCCACGAGACACATAGAGTGTCCATGGCCATGCTGCTAATGATAGCAGAATGACTAAAAATAACCTGAATGCCAAGGGGATAAATTGTGGTGCAGCCACACAGTGGCATATATATACTTTTCTATTCCTTGTCTATTAAATAATTATGACATTTTTTAAAAATGGACTGGTCCTCCCCCCCTTTTTTTTAAACAGTGGAAGTATCTGGAGTACTTAAAATGATTGTTAAAAGCAAGGTATGCTCTAGGTAAAAAAAGGAAAAACCTGAAACAATGCAGGAAAGATAGATAGGGCCACTTTTCATTTCTCTTCTTCTGTACTTTTTATGTATTTTATATGTATGAGGTCATTGTAAACACATAGTAGCAGAACTGATTTTTTAATTTTCCTGATGGCTGCATAGTATTCCATTGTGTAGCTCTATAATTTTTTGATGTATGATGAAATATAATTCATCTGGCCAATCTGTTGATAGGCATTTTAGGTAATAGTCAGTCCCCAACTTACCATGGTTGTGCTTAACGATCTTTCAACTTTACAGTGGTGCAAAAATGATCCACATTCAGTAGAAGCAGTACAGAGTACCCATATAACCATTCTCTTTTTCACTTTCAGTACAGTATCAGTAAACTACATGAGCTGCTCAACACTTTATTATAATAGGCTTTGTGCTAGTAGGTGATTTTGCCCAACTGTAGGCAAGTGTAGATGTTCTGAATAAATTTAGGTAAGCTGAGCTAAGCTATGCTGTTCAGTAGATTAGGTGTATTACATGCACTTTCAACTTTCAAAATTTTCAACTTATATTTATCAGTACATAAGTCCATTGTAAGTTGAGGAGTGTCTGTACACTATTATTAGTAATGTGGACTAAGCATTCTTAGAATCTTCTCCTTGAATACTTAGCTAATTATTTGCTTAGAATAAATTCCCAGAAGTGAACTTTCTGATTTGAATGTTATGCAATTTAATGCATAAATTACCTTGTCAACTTTGAACTATGTATAAGGAATAGCATCTGTCGAGTGATGGCCACAAAGGTAGCCCATCCCCCACAGCAGCATTTTGTCACAGCATGAGGTGCAGATGGGGAGTTGTTGTGAGCATTAATATACCCACAGGAGCTGATAGACAGCCACTGTAACATGATGGCAACAGCCTCCAGTGCTGCCATGAAACCATTCAGCTGACTTCTGTGTTCTTCCTGCAGATCTATGAACTGCGAGTGATGGAGACCAAACCTGACAAAGCTGTGTCCATCATTGAGTGTGATATGAATGTGAGTTGCTTCATTTGTATTAAAAAGCTCAGACCCCAGGAGGATTGGGCAGGTGGTGGCAGCCCCAGGCAAGGGCCTCAGGAGGCTGTCACAAGGCCCCTGAAACTATTTGGGTAAAGAGGAGGAAGATGCTGTCAGAACATCCTAAGGAGGACACTTACCTTGTGATCCATCTCAGGGCCAGGGAGGGGGCAGAGTTTGCCACCAGTGCTGAGGTGGCTCAATCCATGTCACTTCTGACCTGCCATGGAGTAAATACTCTTAAGAGCTAAGGAGGCCTATTCAGCTTATTAAGTAGAAATGAACTATTAATAAACACAGCATCCTGGTTGGATTGCTAGGGAATTATGCTGAACAAAAAAGGCCAATCCCAAAAGGTTACATCATTTATATAACATCCTTAATGATAACACTTTAGAGGTAGAACACAGACATAGTTATCAAGACATAGGGCTGGTGTAGGAGGGCAGGAGTAGCTGGAAGGAAGCTGGGTATGGTTATAAAAAGACATGGGGGATGCTTATGTTGGAACTTTTGTGACTGTGGTGGATACAGGGACCTACATGGTGATAAAATTATATAGAACTAAACACACAAACTGGGTAAGACTGAATAAGAGTGGTGAGTTGTAACAATGGTGCTGTCCTGGCAATGATATTCTGCAAGGCGACATATGGTGGCTCATGCCTGTAATCCCAGCATTTTAGGAAGCCCAGGCAGGAGGATTGCTTGAGCCCTGTAGTTCAAGACCAGCCTAGGCAAAATAGCAAGACCTCATCTCCACAAAAAAATATAAAAATTAGCCAGGTATGATGGCACATACCTGTAGTCCTAGCTTCTTAGGTGTCTGAGGCAGAAGGATAGCCTGAGCCCAAGAGGTTGAGGCTACAGTGAGCTGTGATCATGCCACTGCATTCCAGCATGGGCGACGGAGTAAAACCCCAGCTCAAAAAAGACACTGTACTGTACTTTTGTAAAACATCACCATTGGGAAAGCTGGACAAAATATACCAAGGCATCTTTCTGTATTATTTCTTACAACTGTATGTGAATCTATAGTTATTTCAATTAAAAAGGAAGGTAAGTGTGGCGACTGTCTCTAAATTTTACTTTCCCTCTTGAAAACACAGGTGGACTTTGATGCTCCCCTAGGCTACAAAGAACCTGAAAGACAAGTCCAGCATGAGGAGCTGACAGTAAGTGGTATCCCCAGCACCCTTTCCCAACCTGCCACACACTTGCCCTTTAATGTGAGGGTACTACTCTAGTTTCTGGCAGGGCTTGTGTGTGGCCTTTGCTGGTGCTGACGCAGTCATGTCCCCTGCTTCTCTTCCAGCCTTGCTCTTTTGCTGTGAGGGCGAGAGGAGCAATAGAAACAAGAGGATTGAGGGGGAAGCTGGGTGTCCTTGTGAGCTCACCTCCTGTTTTTCTGTCTCCCTGCCAGGAAGGTGACACTGACCACAGTGGTTATGCTGGAGAGCTGGGCTTCCGCGTGAGTACCAGGCATTCGGCTCCCATTCTGTGCTCTTGATGTGCCCTCTGCACCTTGGCACCGGGGTACTCACTTCCAGCTGTTCTCTGTGATACTCTGGGGACATCACCTGTGCACACACCTATCTGGCACTTGCTCAGTTACCAACCCCTTTAACATCCACTTGCTCCTGGAATGTTCTCAACGGCTCCGTAAGGCAGTCCCAACTTCTTTTTAAAAATTTCTAACTGACTGAAGCGTTTAAATAGTACAACAGACATGTGAATGCACACTTCCTTTAGGTTCACTAAATATTGTTACCACATTTGCTTTTTCTTTTCTTTGTTTGAGATAGAGTGTTGCTGTGTTGCCCAGGGTTGTCTCAAACTCCTGGCCTAAAGGGATCCTCATTCCTTAGCATCCCATGTAGCTGGGATTATGGGTGTGTGCCACTTCACACAGCTCCTCACATCTGCTTTCTCTTTTCCTTAAAACATGTTCCCTCCCTTTTCTTTGCCTGCACTGTTTGTAAGTTAGTTGTGCACGTGATCCTTAGCACAGCCACCAGCGAGCCTCCCTAGAAATGGGTGTAGGTGGCTTGTGTACAAGTACTGGGGTTCCAGGAGGCAGCAGACAGGGCAGGACCGGGTAGATGGGAAGCTGAGCTGTGGGGCAGTTACAACTGAGGCCTTAGCCCACCCTATCTTTAGCTCATGGCAGTCCTCTGAAGGGCTAGGTGGGTAGCTTTCAGCTGCAAGCACTCCAACAGCTGGGGTGTGGGGCTTCAGTTCTGGGGAGGTCTGGGGAGCACCCCCAGCTCACATCCCTGTAATGATCTCTGAGCAAAGGGCACATGTGCTCACTCTCGGGGCTTATTATACAACTCTCCTGCTTGCTTATCTAGGCCTTCTCCGGGTCTGGGAATAGGCTAGATGGAAAGAAGAAAGGAGTAGAGCCTAGCCCCTCCCCAATCAAGCCTGGAGACATTAAAAGGTAGGTCTGCCTGGCTCTTGCTCTCTGGATGCTTTGTCATCATCCAGGAACTGCGCCAGCCCCCTGGGGTAGGACAGCCTCACTCCAGCTCTGGAGACAAAGCCTGGTTCAGTGGACTCTCAGGGGAACTAAAAGCCCCACCTGCTCTCCTTGGTGAGGTGGAGCAGAATGTGTCCCTGTTTCCACTCTTCCACTCTAGTCCAGCCTCTCTCCACAACATCTCAACCTCCTCCTGCCCCAGTGGCTTTCCTAAGATATGTTGCTGATTAGCTCTCACTTAAAACCTTTCTGGTTCCTATTTGGTAATTTGTTTTCCTGTTTTGTGACTGAATAATTAACCAAGTCACATTATTTCAACTTCCCTAAAAGTTCCTTAAGGAGCTGCCTCAGTTTGAGGTGCTTCTGTTGTTGGATCCAGAGGCTTTCACAGCATTCCCCTCCTCTGATGGCTGTCACAGCAGGAGAAGGGTTGAGGTGTGTCAGCTATTTACTGTCTGTGTGAAAGCAAGAGGAGAATGCTGGAGTGAGAGTATAGCCTTCTTGGGGGGCGGGGCTGTGAGGCTCAGGACAGAAACAGTTGACCCCCCAGGCCTTTGGGTGACTCCTCACCCCAGGCAGGTTGAGAGTCTGCAGTCCCTGGCCCCACACTGTGTTTACACCAAACCAGGAAGCTGGTTGCCTCCTGGCTTCCCTCTGGGGGTATACTGGGGAGCATCAGAGAGCTGGCCAGGGGCCCAGGCAGATCCAGTGGCATCATTTCTGCTTGCCTTCCTCTTGATTGTCAGAAAGAATTTTAATCCTTTTCTCCTGGAACTTACATTTTTCCTTGTCTCTCTTCTTTATAGAGGAATTCCCAATTATGAATTTAAACTGGGTAAGATCACTTTCATCAGAAATTCGCGTCCACTGGTCAAAAAGGTTGAAGAGGTGAGTGTATTGGAAATGAGAAGTTTTTTTGCTAGTGATGAGTGGGGTTCCTAACATGCTGAATGAGGATGTTTCTGTCATTTTTTCCCCTTTCCTGGGTTCCTTCTGCTCCTTGGTGACCTGTTTTTTTCCTGCAGAGCTGGTGTGGGGTGTGTGCAGGCTGAGGCCTTGCAGCATGGGGTTCAGCAGCCCTGTCCTGCTCTTGGGCCCAATTTAGGTTGCCATCAAAGAACTGTGCCCTGGGTAGGCCTCATCTGTTTGCTTACTTCTAACAAAGAACTTGAGCTTCAAGTCTCTGGGCAGCACTTTCTAGCTGAGCTGGATGGTTGTAGGACAGGAAGGTGAAGGCTGAACGTCCTGCAGATACGGGCACCCAGAAGGTCTAGACTGGGGCCATCAAACACAGTCAGTAGCAAGACCAAACTAAAAGAGTGAATGAGTGACATTTGTATCCTGAATGTTGACACCTGTAGTGTTCTTCCTCTCCTTGGCTCTCTGACACTAGCAGCCAGACTTGATCACAGCAGTTGGAGGAGCTTTCTCCAAACTGACGAGCCCAAGAAAAAAGACATAAAGATACTGACAAGCAGCAGGGTTCCCAAGAATGTCCCAACCAGCTTACTCCAGAGCAAAGGCCACAGTCATAAAGCTTCCAGTTCCAACATCTAAATAGTAAGCATGAAAAGAAAGACTGGAGAAACTGAAGGAGCAGAAATGATCAGGGAAATAATTTCCCCAAACTCAAGGGCACAAATTTGCAGATTGGAAGGGCCCACTGAGTTCCTGTAAAATGAATGAAAATAGCTCCACATTGAGGCCTCGAGAGAGACAACAGGGTTTCACCAGGAATCAAAAAGGACATCCTCTTAGCAGGACACACAAAAGAAGCGAGAAGACAGTGGAGCAATGTCCTAAAAATTCTGAGGAACATTTTTCCAACTTAAAATTCTGTACCCAACTCATGGGCTGAATTGTGTCCCCTTGAAATTTCTGTGTTTAAGCCCCAAACCCTAGAATGTGATTATATTTGGAGATAGAGCCATTTAAAGAGCTGATTAAGCTAAAAGAAGACCACAGGGCTGGCTGAAAGCCCATGAGACACACTGTGATCAAAGCAGAGGAACTCACTGGGATGCAGGCTGTGCTCAAACGTATGGAGAAGAGAGAAGCCATACACGGTGACACCAGGACAAATGGAAGGCTGTGCAGGAAAGTAAGACTCAGAGCAGATGTGACGGAAGGTACATGATTGCTACCCCATAAACACATCAAATGGCCCCACCACAGGTATAACATGCTGCAGTCAGTGGGGGTGCCAGGTGTGGAGGCTTGCATTGGACATTGCAGTCTTCTTTCATAGTGGAAAGTAAGGAAATAACACCTCAGACTAACTAGCAATAAAAGCACATGAAAAAATACCTGCTGTTTTCAAGAGTTCAGAAAAAACAAGCCCTCTTTCTCCTGATGGAAGAATAGCTTGGTAGACTGTTTCTGAGCACTGGTTGGTCTCTATATTAAAAGCCTTAAAATGTGGGCAGCCTTGGGCTGGGTGCAGTAGCTCATGCCTATAATCCCAGCACTTTGGGAGGCCCAGCACTTTAGGACAGTCTGCTCAATATAGCAAGACCCCATCTTTACAAAAAAAATGTAAAATATTAGCCAAGCTTGATGGTGCGTACCTGTAGTCCTAGCTACTCAGGAGGCTAAGAGGCAGGAGGATTGCTTGAGCCCAGTAGTTCAAGATTGTAGTGAGCTATGACTGTGCCAATGTATTCCAGCCTGAGCTACATCAAGTGAGACCCCCATCTCTAAAAATAAGTACTGTATTCCACATCAGCAAAACATTTCCCTTTGAGGAAAAAAAAGTGGGGGGGGATACTATAAACATGGAAGTAACAGAAATATCTAATGGTAGAAGACTAGTTCTCCCAGATGATGGAATTCTGTAGACCTAGGAGTATACTAGGTAAGAAATTCATTTGCTTGAGACTCAGAATTTAGTGGGAAAAGAGTTTAGGTAAGCATGTACAGAAAAGTGACTGCAAATACTATTTTTGGTTGGTGAAGTTAGGTGATTTTTCTTTTTGGGATGTATTTTATACAATGAAAATTAGCATTCTGTGAAAGGATATATATTCAACCTGAGACTAAAGGCTGTGGTAGATTCATAGTTATGATTCTGTGGCTTTTACAGTGTAATAAATTATTATTTGTAATGCATTTGTATTTCAGAGACATTTCTTTTGAATAATGTGGGAGTAAGGAAAATGGGTAAATGGTTTATGAGTTCACAGAACAAGGCATTTATCACAAACCTCCAGGAAGTTTCTGAAAATAGTATTTTCTCTTCACACCTAGGATGAAGCTGGAGGCAGATTCATCGCTTTCTCTGGAGAAGGACAGTCGTTGCGTAAAAAGGGAAGAAAGCCATAAGTCGGAACTGTTAGCTGATTGGAAAACAATAAAAGAATCATTGCAACATACTGGCTTTTAGTTACTGGCGCTGTCACAGATGAAGCTTATCAGAGAATGGGCTGTTACTTGAGGTTTGTTTAGAGTCACCTAAGAATTACCAAGTTTAACTTGGAAGTGGAGCAGCAGCATTTCCTAGTTGTGTGCTTGATTTCAGGAAAGAGAAAGAGCTGTCTCTGAGGTCCTGTGGACAGCCACCCCCTCACCACTTCATGCTTTCAGCTCGAGGGGCTCCCACTGCCTCAGCAGGAACAGAGTCCCCTAATTCCTGATAACACCAATGGAAGGCTGAAGGCCCAAGGGAATTGTCTAACTTGAGGTTTTCTTTCTCTTTCTTCATTAATCCTTTTCCTAGGTTGATTGCATAGGTGTTGTCTTTGACCTTGAAAAAAGTGGATTAAGTAGTATGTGCTTTATAAATAGTGGCTGTCCCACTATGCAGTTTGAGTGTTTGAGAAAGGATGTTTCTGTTTTTACTTTACATATTTTTTTTTCAAAAGCACCACTCCTCAGAAGCTGATCTGAATGAGTCGCACTTTTATTTTGATTTCATATGGAAATAACTGGCTCCTTAGTGGACCTGTTCTATAGTAAAGCAACTCCATGGAGGAGCACAAATGTGAATGTTAGAATGAATATATGCTAAATATGTGTTCCTCTTTCTCCTTCTTTTATACCTCCCATTCCCAATTTTAATTTATTAAAACATCCAAGGTTCTGCTGGCCTAGCTTTATTTCTGATTAGTATTAACTTGGGCTTAGATCTTTATCTTCTAAAATGTAAGACCTTTTGCCATGCTAATCCAATTATCTTAAATTTGTACCCTGATAATAATTCTGAATCAAGAAGTTCAAATAAAAACAGGCAATGACTAAAGCCTGGCTTGCCTCTAAATGTTTGCTAAGTACTAATAAGGATTGCTGACTGGGCTGCTGACCAGGAACTGAAGGAAGCTTGTTTGCAGGTGCTCCGTGGTCCATCTTGCCATTGGAAAAGTGCTCCAGGGCTTCTACTGAAGAATCTAAAGAGAAATGAGGCTCCCCAGTCCCTGCCATGGGGTTGGTCAGAGCCAACAGGGTTCCCCACATGTGAGGGCTCACATCCTGCTTGTGGGCAGAAGGGTCCTGCTCTGGACAGGGCTCCTGTTAACACTCCAGAGAGGAAAGAATGCCCTCTCCAGGTTGGTAGCCCCGGGGTCGGCTCACATGTCCTGAGTGAAGAGCATTGATGAGTATCGTGATGTTCAGGACTGGGCCTGGGCACAAACCATCTTCACTGGTGATGGATGGGGTTTTATAAGGTGTGAGCACTGTGGGAACCTACCTAATCTTCCACTCAGGAGTTCTGTTTCACTAGTAGAGGTAGAAACCCTCCTTGACAGGTAGGCAGTTCCATTTGCAGGATCACACTGGCTGACAAATTGTCATTGTATGCATAATGAAGATATAGCAAGCTCTGGCCTTGGTTTTTTTTTCTTCACTAAGCAACACCTGCTGTGTATGCAGTGAAACCCCTAGTCCTTTGCTGGAGACACACTCCCTTGCCTATGCCAGGATGAATTCTATTGTTGGGCCTTTTCATGGCAACTGGGGCCTTTTGATGACACAGTGGGGTCACCTGGAGCATTGATTGTGGTCATTAACTGCTGCATCCTGGTCTGCAGCCTTCCTCTTAGTGTTTTCTCCAAGCTTGAGCTTTGAGCCAGCAGCCTCAACAACAGGACCCCTGGTAAAATTGCAGCTTTGTGACCCACTTCCAGGGATGGGCCCAGGAACTGCATTATAAGGGACTCAATTCAGAGAAGTTGGAGGACCTTACAGAGATATTGTGGGGCGTTTCTGCAGCTTACCAGTTTCCTCTTTACTTGCCTTTATTGGTCCCTTGTGCATCTCTTGTTTATAAATGTTCCATGACTCCCTCACCCTTAGGATAGCACAGAAACTAATCAGCCATACAAGTCTCCTCCCTCCCCAGCTCATATAGTCTCCCTTCCTTTAACCAGCCTGTCGCTGTGCTAGGAATGTGTGCTGGGAATGCCTTTGCTCAACCGCTACCTCAAGCCTGGGTTCCCTGGGGAGGTCATCCTTCCCCCTTTGCCTACCATCACCCAACACATGTCACACCCAACCAACCCTGCTTGCTTTTCGAGTTTACCTACCTGAAGACAGAAGAGGTCACTATAGTCGCAGACCAGGCAGGTTCGCTGCACATTAATGCTCAGTATGTGCTTACTAAAATGAACCGAATCGTTGAGGGTGGAGAAGATAACAAAGCTGCTTAAAATAACTGGCATGAACCGTGTGATTTTAGACAGTTAACCACGTGACTACACGGCCCTTGACCTGCGGCGCTAGGGCCCCGGGGCACGCCCCGCCTGCCCCGCCCCTGCGCACTTATTGGCTGCTGAGCCCAGACGTCCTGTTTGTTGGCGCTTCTCAAGGGGAAGGCGCGAAGATGTAATGAAATATATCGGAGTTCATTAGTTCTTCCATCCGTCGATCACGCGGTGCTGTCTTGAGTCTTCATTGGCTGGCGAGTCGAGGAGGCGGGCTTGGAAGTCGGCACGTCCCGACATGGCCGACTGCGGCGGCTGGCGGGTGAGTGTGGTCGGTGCAGGGGACATGCGGGCGTCTAAACCCTGGAGACCCACTAATCGCCCCTCCCCGGGGGAGGGGGCTGGGGGCGTGGA